ATGATCCCAGGGCTGACGATATTGATGTGAGCCCCAATAGCGCCATAGGACCCGACAGAAGCCTGGACGCGAAGAATGTTGGCTTTCTTCGACACTCGATAGGGCTTGCCGCTGTCGTCGCTTTCAAGCTTGAATAGACGAGCTGTTCATGAGGCTTTCCGTTGGTGAGGTACAGAAGTGCTTCTCTTCTTTGATGGCGATGTCTTTGCCAAAGTGCGCGGCAGTGCTGGACATGCAAATCAGACAAGACCCGGCTAGGACAGACTTGAATGACATGCGCCGTGCCAAGGTGGTTGATGTCGTATATCAACCGCGGGAAAGAGTTGGGCGGAGAGACCCCTGCAGTGTGAACTTCGATTCGACCCAGAGAGGCGGCATCCGACTGGATGGAAAAGGTTGCGGAATCATCCAAGGCTCCAGATGAAGCTGTAAGCTGGTAGTCTCGTCAGCTCGTAGTCATGCTTGACATCAAATGGATAGCCAGTCAGTACGCCCTGAGGTCATTGAAGTCATCCTGACCCTACATGTCATCTGTTGAGTGTCTAGAGAATGATTGTCCAACAAATTGTTTATTTGTAGTCATGACTCTACAGCTATAATGCAAAAAGTCTTCCAAAGAATCAACCATCAAAGGCCATGCCACACAGCCCCTTACTTTTGACAATGAGCTTGTAGCATTTCTAACCTGATTGGGATGCAGGCCGCCCGTCTCTCGTGCAACACTACCTCGACTTCCAAGATGTATCCTTCTCGCTCAAACAAGGCGTTGCCCGGGTATCCCTGGGCTACCCAGACCAGTCGCCAGCGCTTCAAACGCCCAAACGCCGCATATACTGTCGCAAACGCGCGCTCACCGGTTAATCCATCACATGACACTGCAGCTCGAGCTGTAGCCCTCGCGGCACTGCTCCAGGTATCCCTCCTCCTCCTCCGTCCCAGCGGGCACATTGTGCTTCCTCGCCAGGCCCGTGATCCTGAGCTCATGCTTGCCTTGCGGATTCCACCACTTGAACCTCTGCAGCGACGTCCCTTCGTCCTCGTCCGAGCTGATCTCCCACTTGCCCCCGGAGGCGTCGACATCGCTAATATCTCGGGGGAAATGGAACTCGGGAAGGTAGACGATTGTCGGGTTGGCATCGCCGGCTGCGCTTTGCGATGACACTTCGAGGGTGAAAATGCAGTTGCGGAGGTCGAAGCCATACTCGACGACGGTGCCCGCGACAAAAGTGGGCGTTGGGCGGATGAATGCCTCAGCTGCACGTAGACCTGGGGCATTCGTCAGTTGAGGGTCCTTGCCGGAAGGCACTGAGCTGATAGACGGACTTGTCAATGTTCTTTGCAGATTCGCTGGCGTCACATTGTCGTCTTCAGCCACGTCGTTCGCGCTGTCCATGGGTTTGGACGCGTCGATCGACTGGTTCTTGGGGACCGCCGAGGATGGTGGCAGTCGGTCGTCGACCGAGTTGATTGACAAGTCCTCGCCATTCCACTGGTCGCCCCACTGATGGTCATTGTTAACCGTGTACAGCCATAGACAGTGTCCCTCTAGCTTGGCACCCTCGACTGCAAAGTAGTTGGCATCGAGAGCTGCCGATTGACTCGAGTAGTCACCGGTTTGGTATGCCTTTTTGTCGTCCATATCATAGGGAATACCGAACTCTGACAAGATGCAGGGGTGGTTGCCGGTCTGTTCCTTGCCCTCGTCGCTCAGAAACTTAAGCTGATCTCTCAAGCAGTTTCGAATCGCTGTCTCGCCCACTTTGATGGCAAATGCTGGGTGCCAGTATTTCCCGCGCAACACGCCCACCACGTCGACATTCCAAGTGCTATTCCAATGCTTCGTCATGAGAGTGATGCCATCGTAATAGTGCGGCGTAAACACCAGGCGAGGATCGTCATCAGGGGTGCCCTTGATCTTCGGTGGGATCTCGAGGGTTGGGTATTGCATCAGCATGATACAGTCCTTGTGCGCACTTCGGCACGAATCCTTGAACCTCCTCCAAAAGTCCATGAAATAGGTGTTGGTGAACTCTGGATAGTCAATCTCTCTCCCGGTGCGTGGGTTCTTCTTGAAATAGTCCTTCTTCAGCAAGGTGTCGGTAGACGGGTCCCACACGCCATGCTGCGCCCAGATACACTCCCCAAACTTCCACCCCGGATCTCGCTTCCATCCGTACTTTGTGTCGTCATAATCTACAGGCAGCCAGGCAATCTCGCCATGAGGGTCGACAAGTCGCGACCCGGTCTTGTAGGGCCCCAGGCCACCCATTTCGTACTCGTCTATTTCGCAAGCCCGCCCGCTGCCATTCAATATGGTCTGCCAGATGGTCGGACAGGTGCCCTTTTTCAGGTTCTGCTCTTTCGGTATCTGGCTCAGGTCGACGTACCCCGTCAGCCCACGGTTGGGTTCGTTCATACTCTCCCAGCCCATGACGACTTCATTCTCTAGATCACCGGCCTCATGTATCCTCTGGGCCAGGTGCCCACATGCCTTGAAGAAATGGTCCTGCAGGTAGTCCTGGATGTTGACGCCGTCTATGATGCACTTGGGCGCAAAGTCACGTCCGGCAAAGAAGAAGGTAAATATCGAGGCGGCTGCCAATCGGTAATAATTGGTGGACCAGATCATCTTGGGGAATTTCGCCGGGTCCGGGTATGTGTTATGCACGATGGCGGCCTCCGTGGCGGCGAAGCTTTGAGGGTTCAGTCCACACGCGTAGATGGTCCACATTGGTGCGCCTGACCCTCCCGTGAACCGCGACCACACGTCCTGGTGCGGATCCATGAACACAAAGAACCCATATCGCTTCGCAATGCGCAGAATCTCAATGGTGTGCTGTATAAAGTCCTCGTCGTATTTCCCCGGCCCCGCAGCCTCGATCGCCTCCCATGTAAAGATATAACGGATCGTGTTGAAGCCATAGCGCTTTATGCGTGCAAAGTGGACATGTGCATCTTGCTGTGTGAAAGGGCGGCAGTGGAACTTGACATTGTCGCCGTCAAAGAAGGCATCGGGGTTCTGCGAGGGCTGATCCGGGTCGCTGGGCAGCTTGGCGTCGCCAGCGACGTTGATTCCGCGAAGGACGACCTGACGGCCGTGCGGATCTCGAAACTGGCCGTCTTCGATGGAGAGGCGAAAGGCGCTCATCTCGATGAATGTGCCGAGGTCACGCGACCTGATGAATGGGCGCCGTCGTCGTCGAGGGCTTGCTGGTGACGAGGACGAGGGGAGGTGGCGCTTGGGGTGGTGATGAAGTAAAGTTGAGGCATTGCCTGGTTGGGAAGTGCAGATGACGTTTACCTGCCCCGGCCCCCGGCCCGCCCACTCCAACGATGGCCTCGGCTTGGTATTGTCCGAAACTCCGAGACTTATATACGTACTACTGAACACCCAAAGGACATGTCTTTCCTTGAGCTACAAAATCGGTAGTCTGTACATTCTGGAAAAGCCACGTGGTTAGTGACAAGGCGTCATCGTCCGTCAAAGACTCAAAATGCCCAGTTCGAACAGCACCTAATTCTTTTGTTTGTGCCTCCACAAGCAGAAGATCAAAGTCTAGCCCGATTCAAGTCATGAATCGGGAAGTCGGTGTGGCTGTCTCACTAAACGATGGCTTGCGCGGCAAAACAAACTGGCCATTCTGAACTTCGGTCCTCTTGCAGGGCAGGCGAGCTCACATGGATCAGTTGGACCTCTGTCAACTTCGTCGTCGATAAATCATCTTTGACTGGTAAGAATGGATCATAAAAAAGAGGTTAAGAGTGCTCGGGGTCTGATTAGTCCAACAATATCAAGTTCTTCTGCCCTTTCTCTAAGATTGGCTTCAATGCCATCGACGGCTTGCGGCAAACTGAGCCAAACGTGGAGATAGAATATTTTGTTCAATGTCTTGCGGAGATTTGAAGTGCCGTGATCATTTTCTAGGCTAGGTAGAGGACCTGTGTTTATTTCCTAGTGCAAAAACTCCAATCTCCTTAAGGGGCTGGATCTATGCATTCGTGTACGGATAGCGTTCAGGAGTATCAACAATGGGGTCAAACCAGCCTACATCATTATCACACAGAACGCGATGCAAAGCTCGGTGAGCATTCGGTTAAATGACTGGATTCTTTCACCCAGTCTATGTTCAGGAATTGAAACATTGTACGCGGCGCTTTTGCTCAATTTCAAATCGAGTTACTCGAGTGTGTCAGCTCGAAATTCGAATACAGTACGTAGCTCGGGTCGGGAATCGGGATCAGGGTAGCCTCTTTCTTAGTCTGGTTTCTTGTAAAGTTCCGAGACACACCTATTCACAGTGACTGGTGATTTATCCTTTTTTCAATGATGGCAAAGCCGTCTCTTCTGGTTTGCATTCCCACCTCCTCACCACAGTCGGGTGACTCGAGTCGACTGTGCCGCCTAGGCGCGTCCATGCACCGCATTGGCGCATGTCGCGAGCATCCTACATGTAGGCCCCAGTACGGGCAAGTTCATTAGGACAATGACACTGTGGCTACCAATTTTGGCACCCAATCAACACAAAACTATCATTCACATGCCATCGGGAGCGACTGTGGGAGCGACTGGAGCTAGTCGACGACGGCCAAGCTTAGATGTGAGCTTCACCCCTTGGCCACTAACATGATGTAGAATGATCGACCGTGGTGCGAGCAGTGACAAACGCGTGGAGATGACCCGAGATAGTAACGTAAAGCGATGGTGATACGTGTCGACTTGACGTCAGCAAACGCGCCCTTCGAGATGCAGTCATCCTCGTGCTGCGCCCTTCATTGACATGGGGCCTTCTCCTCACTCGAATCGCATATCAAAGTCGGGCCATCGCTCGAGGCGCCAGTCACCGTTTGTCCGTCTTCCACTTCTCTCCTCAACCCCCAATATGACCATCACGACCGAGATCGCCACGTCTGAGACGCCGCGCCGTTACCCTCTCAAAGGGTCCTGTCACTGCGGCACTATTCAGTACATTCTGCACCTCAAGTTCCCCCATGAAGCACATCTAGACCCACGACCTCGCCAGAGGATCTATCGCTGCAACTGCAACATCTGTCACAAGGCCGGCTTCCTTCATGCCCGCCCCGACTCGCCCCCAGACGACTTCCTCCTCCTCTCGCCACTGGACCCGATAATGGAGCTGGGTGATTACCAGTGTGATGCGAAGCAGCTTCACTTTCTCTTCTGCAAGACCTGCGGCGTGCGGTGCTTCACATTCATGGGACAGGGAGAGGTGGTCGACGCAGATCTAGATGCTCTTGGCGTCGGCGAGGGAACCGTCAAGGCCTGGCGGCCGAACTTGGAAGGCTGGACTGAGGGCAAGAGAGATCATGGATGTTATCTGAGTGTCAACGCCCACACGCTGGACCCGAACCAACCGGGCTTTGACCTGAGAGAATGGGTTGAGAAGAAATGGGTATGCTACGTAGACTATCTCAAAGCTGGCACGGACGAGAAAATGAGCTTTCCAAGGTATGAGAGGCCGTTTGAGGGGGGCACATACTAGGCGGAGAACGGAGTTCGAGGCATTCCATGACAGTCGGTCCCTGGCAGGTCGCAAAGTACACGAGAGATGAGCGACCAGTCGATAACCCTATGGGATGCTGTCGTAATTCGTGCACACACATAATCCATACATTGTGATAGTGTCAATCCCGAAAATATAAGAAAACGCTCTAGGTCCAAGTCATAACCAAATTAATAATATGCCGGAGCCAGCCTCCCTGGCGGCGTGGCAGGCATCTCCACAGGTCCGGACGTCATCACAGGCGGTGGCATCGTCAAATGAGGCGAATCGGGCGGTGCCTCGGGCGCGATCCTCTCGCACGACCCCGTCTCCAGGTGTCGCGTCGAGGGCGAGTACGTGTTGTCGCTGACACGCTTCCAGGGGCCCCAGATGTAGTCGTGGTACAGCTCCGGCGGCGGCTCGTCCCTGTTGAGGATGTAGCGGCAGACGAACCAGGGGAGGTACTCCTGGACCTGGAAGGACATGAAGCGGCGCTTGGAGACGGCGAAGACGAGGTCGAGATCCTCGAGGGAGCGGCTCTTTGTCTCCTCCACGAGGAAGAAGACGAGGATGAAGGCGAGGACGTTGAGGCCGGCGAAGAGACCGAGGGAGCCGCCGTCACCTAGACCGTTCTCGTCGTCGCGGATGGCAGGGTAGAGCATGGAGAGCAGTCCGGCAAAGAAGAGGTTGATTGAGATGGGCCATGCGGTACCCGCCTCACGATGCGAGAGGGGAAAGCTCTCGGACGCGAGGGTGAAGGGAATGGGACCCAGACCGGGGGAGTACGCCACCGCGAACAGGTACAGGAACAGAGCTACGATACCAGTTCTGTTGCTTGTGTCTTGGATGTTGTAGGACAACGCAGCACCCAGCATGAAGATGGCCATGAATGGCAGCGTCATGAGAAGCCAGCGTCTTCGACCCAGTGTATCGATACTCCTCACGGCTGGAAGACAGAAGAGGAAGTTGATGGCGCCGAACCCAAGACTGTACGCCATGGGCTTGATGTGGCTGTCCATGTGTGCGGCCGAGGCACTCGAGTCACCTACGTCGCGCACCAGCTCGGTAGAGTAGAAGGCAAAGACATTGACACCAGACAGCTGCTGAGCCACATTGACGGTCGCCGCTGAGATGAGCGCGTTGTAGAGGCGACGCTGCTGGAACAATTGGCGGAAGGCGAGGAGAAAGTCGCGGATCGTCCACCAGAAGCCGGGGTTGAGATGGGCGCGCGAGTCGGCCGTCATGGCTCCCATGGATTCCTGCTCAATGGACTTGTAGACGGCGTACATGTCGCGCAGCGCTTGGAGCTCCGTGTTGCGCAGCTGGCGTAGGATCATGTAGGCTTTCTCGGGGCTGTAGTTGGGCCCCTTTTGCAGGTGGTAGCGCGGGGACTCGGGACACACAAAGACGGCCATGAAGAAGAGGGCCAGCGCTGGGACGAGAGGCGCCCCCTGGATGAGCCCCAGCGTGATGCGATCGGTGGCCGCCGTGGTGAAGAGGAGGTTGAACGCGAAGCCCAGCATAATGCCAAAGGCCACCCACAGCTGCCACGCGAGGATGGCGGACCCTCGCCAAAAACCGACGGCCGTCTCAGAGGCTAGGATGGGCGTGCTGACAGCCTTGACGCCCATACCCAGGCCGTTGATAATGCGAATGCAGAGAAGTGCAGTCCAACTCTCTGCGAAAATGGCAGCCACCGAGCTTGTGAAGAGGAACACCGAGGCCACAATGAGTCCGCCGCGTCGTCCATAGTAGTAGTTGATGGGAAGCGACAGGGGGCATCCGACGAGTGCTGCTGCGAACCAGGCCGCAGCATTTGTGCCTCCAAGCTTCCATGTTGAATCCTCCGTGAGACCCCATTCCTCCGAATAGAATGAAGCGCCGTTGAACGAGGACTGCACAAATCCCTGTAGCAGCGCCGCCAGCGACACTGTGATGATCACCTTGCGCATGCCCCTTTCACTGAAAACGACATCGCGCTCGCGCTTCAAAAATCGTTTCTCCTGCGGCGTCAAGATGACGGGAAGATCCTCGCCCATGTGAGGGTCAGGTGACCGGGCGACCTCCTCGTAGAGCCGAATGTCCTTGGCCACGCGGGCCGCTCGTAGGACCTTTGCGAATTCGACATGCGGGAGATATAGCTCTGCAAAGTTCTGCACGTCTTGCTCCAGCTCATCATCGGTAAAGTAGGCTGCAATATCAGTACTGAGTCTTTTGTCTAAAGGGAATCAGTGGCTACCCAGCGGATTCTCAATAATGGCTCGGTCGTTGGCCCGCCTGTTGTGAATCTGAGCGGCGAGCAAGTCGTTCGGACCGCCAGCGGTAGAGAACTTTCTCAGTGGAAACGAAGACATGATTAGTTTGCCCAAAGGCTCCTGGCCATAGGTTCTATCAGATAAGGAGTGACTGCACCACGAAATAGCAAATAAAAGCGAAGAGACCTACAAACGAGGCTTTCCGCCTCCGTATGGGGGCATGGCATTATATGTGGGACTGGCCTCGCCAGGAACATCAACGCCACGCATTACGCCTCCGATCACCCTGACGCACAAGGATGCGTTTGCAGATACAGGGCTCTGAAAATGCTGCCAAATCGGGGAAGACCCTGCTTTTTGGGCCTCCGGGCTGACAAGACGTCAGAAGGCCTCAACTTAGAAACATGACTGTCAGCCATCAAGTGGCGGTTGTTTGTGGACATAGCAGACTCAGTACAATATCATACTTCCCCATGGAGGCTTCATCCGTTGCACTTGCGCACCCGTGCAGCTTGACTGGAGATTGAGATCTGGGGAGATGGGGTGCTGGTGGATGACGGGTGAAGTCAAGAGTCAAGAGTCAAGACCCTGCATGCACTATGCGCAGTAAGGCAGGCCAACCAGCGATCATCCGTCTCGCAGCGGCGGCCAAAGCTGCGCGCTCAGATGGCTTCGGAGAGCCGGAAGTGTCCAAGCACGTGTCGTCGGGCCTTTGAGTTGGGATATGTTGTACGCACTGGTACCGTCAAGGTTCATGTTGTCTGGTCGCAACGTGAAGTCAGTCGCCTAGCGTGTGTCGCAGATATTCTGTCCAGGCCAGCCGTCCTTCCTCTCCCAGTGGACTGGAGGGGGCAGGCTTGTCCAAAGCATGTGTTCGACCACTGTGAGCAGTCAATGAGGACATAACTTGGATACTTGAGTCCAGCGAGTTTTCATGTTAAAGAGTTGGACTTTAGAGCCTGGAGGCCTTCGCTCAAGTGCTTACGTAGCTTGTAGCGATGCCCACTACATGCATACTCCCATTGATGCATACCTTGATAGACACCTGAAGCCCGCCAATCACGTCATCCAGTCTCGGCCTGGCGCCGACCGACAGCCAGAATGATCGCGATATCAAAGATTGTGGCACCGGGTACCACCCGATTCACTATTCATTCTCTTGTCCTGATTTCCAAGGCGCTGAATCTCATTCAATTTGACCATTTCATGACATTTTCACACATTTAAAGGCGTCAATTCTTTCATATAATTGCTTAGGCCGCCTCTGAGCCCGCTCGTCCCCTCGGTCAGTAGCCGCCGGTCGCTGTTGTATCCGTACAATGGCACCTGAAGATGTTGTCCAGGCTGAGCTGGAGCACCCCCAGGGCGGCGCAAAGCAGACCGCAAAGGATCTCTTCTCAGGCGCTGTTGGCGGCATCGTTCAAGTCCTAGTCGGTATGTGACTCTCTATGTCTCTTCCCAGTTCTGGGCCCTAGACCAATCTGTGACAGCCCATCTGACTGAGACCAGGCCAGCCCTTTGACATTGTCAAGGTCCGCCTCCAGACCACCACACAGTACTCATCTGCTCTCAATGCGGCCACATCCATCTACAAGACCGAGGGCCCCCTTGCGTTCTACAAGGGCACCCTCACACCCCTCGTCGGCATCGGAGCCTGCGTGTCCGTGCAGTTTGGCGGCTTCCACCAGGCCCGTCGCTTCCTTGAGGGTCGCAACACGAGCCACGGCAAGCCAAAGGATCTGAGCTACTCACAATACGCCCAGGCCGGCGCCTTTGCGGGTGTCGCCAACTCCGTGCTCTCAGGTCCCATTGAGCACATCCGCATCAGACTCCAGAGCCAGCCCCACGGGGCGGGCAAGCTCTACAACGGGCCGCTGGACTGCGTCCGGAAACTGGGCGCGCACCGTGGCGTCCTGAGCGGCGTCTACCGCGGCCAGGCCGTCACCATGTGGCGCGAGGCCTTTGCCTACGGTGCCTGGTTCACCGCCTTTGAGTACATGATGAACACGGACGCGGCGCGCAACAAGATGGACCGCAAGGACATCCCCGGGTGGAAGGTCGCCCTGTACGGCGGTTTGGCCGGTGAGGCCCTCTGGCTCGCCAGCTACCCCTTTGACGTGGTCAAGAGCAAGATGCAGACCGATGGCTTTGGCGACAAGCAAAAGTACCCCAGCATGCGGGCCTGCTTCCGGGACACGTGGCGGGCTGATGGCGCGAGGGGCTTCTGGAAGGGTATTGCGCCCACTTTGTTGAGGGCCTTGCCTGTGAGTGCGGGTACCTTTGCGACAGTCGAGTTTGTGATGAGGTTGCTCGATTAGACGAGACACCATAAAGGTGAATACAAGGCGCTTTGGGGGATACACTATTCAAAAAGAAAATGGATGCGGGCACCAGAAATCCCGACAGCGACGATAGAAGAAAGACTCAACATCTACTGATAGATCTAACGTGGATATTATTTTTTTTGCACTATTCTATTCAACATTCTCCCCATTTTCGATCCTACGTTGCAGGATGTTGCGCGCAAGTTGAGGCGTCAACTCACTAAGCTCAAGCTCCTCAAGCACCTTGCGCGCCTCGTCATTGTCGGTGAACACGCGATCGCTGGCTGTCTTGAGGGTGATCGCCTTCTCTTCGCCACCCTCCACGGGCAGGTTCAGCAAGCGGAGACCATCCTGGAGGGTCGCCAGAGCGGAAGAGCCGGCTGGAATAAACCGGTTCACGACATCGAGCACCTCGGCCACGTCACGCAGATACTGAGCGGCGCCATATGTGGTAAACTCCTGACGGAGCAAGATGTCGTTCAGGAGCTGGTCTTGCAGCTTGCCGAGAGCCTCGCGCCAGACGCGGCGGAAGGATGCTGTTGACAACGGCTTGACCAAAAAGGCCAGATTGCGCGTCAAGATATGCAGAGGCTCGTCAAGCTCGGGAGAGACGTTGAGCGACGCCGGGTCCTCCACTACCGACGATTCTCCGATCGTGGTGAACGAGGCGCGCTGGCCATAGTTGCGGAAGGCCTTTGTATGGGCGGTGTTGAGCGTGGAGACAATGAATTCGTGGGCCGTCTTCCTGCGCAGGCTGTACGCTGCAATCATCTCGTCAAAGAGCGCGCCATCTTCGGACATGCCCATGGCACTCGATGTCCTGTCTTTGACCTCATCAAAGGTCATGCTGCCAGCCTTGTTCTGACCGCCCGGCTGAGGCCCGCCCTGCAGACGCTCCCACAGCTCCAAGAAGAACTGTTCTCGGTTAGTCACTGAATGCATTCTGTGTATCGCGACACGCTTACCTCTTCGCTGCTCCACTCCTTCAGAGTGTTAGCAACATGGTCAGCGCTGCCCAACACCTTGCACAGACGTTCCAGGCCGCCTGTGCCCTCCAATGCGGCGAGCTGCTCCTTCGAAGCGCCATGTAGCGTCCGCCCAAAGGTGGAAGTGATTGATAGGTAGGCCTCAAGCGACTCGCGCAAGACGGTGTCGTACTCTTCGAGTATATCAATCTGGATATTGATGAGAAACTGGATCTTGTGGCGCACCTTGCGCAGCCGGCTGTACTGGCTCGTGACAGACCGCAGGAGATCCGTGACACGCACAGCCGCAAACGTAGGCTTCATACGCCCGTCTGCGGCATAGTCGTAGTCAATGTTTCGGTCGTTTGCCGACTCCAGGATATCATTGAAGCGCTTCATCGCAAAGTCTCGCTCCGCTTTGAACCACGAGTCAAAGTGCTCGTCCAGAATCTCCGTCGTCAAGCCCTGCCAGCCGCGCACGTCATCGCCGCCATCGTAGTTGAACCTGGTGCGCAGATTCTCATCAAAGCTCGACACCTGCGAGATAAAATTACTGAAGAAGGAAGCGTTGCTGATGGCCTTGTTCGCGACGTCGTAGACCTTCTCGCGAATGACAGGCAGCAAGGATGTGATGAATGCGCAGACGGGATCGACGTAGAGTAGGTTGTTCTCCGCGTCCGTCTCTCTAAACTTAGCCACCAGGAGATGACCCAGGTTATCGCGCAAAAAGTCTTCCCATTTCTCCAATGTCATCATCACCCACGGAAAGCAATGCGTCCCGATGGCCTGGGCATCGCTTGTAGGCTTGTCGCTGAGAAAGTGGAAGCGGAATTCGGCGATGAAGATCTTGGCCATGACATCCAGAGGCAGGAGAGAAACTGACTGGGTGCTGTAGAGCACCTCGGGCATTTGTAGATCAATGAGCTTCTCAAAAGAGGCAATCCATTCATCGTCCATCTGGGACTTGGGGTCGACCTTGGGCCATTTCCTCGCGCGGAGAACCGTCTCAAACTCTTCCGACATGATGGCCTTCATCTCCTTCCAAAGACCGTCCGTCACACCCTCCACATAGTCGACCAGGTGCAGCGCCTCGTCGCCTTGGAGCTCCTTCAGTCTTGTCGCAAGCTGCTTCAGCTTGGTGTAAGGCTCGAGAGCCGCCTTCGGGCTCGCCGGGAGATGTGACCGCGCCTCGCTCCGCAGTGTCTCGACCTCTTGTACGAGGCTCAGGTATTTCTGCGCCAGATCCACCGCGCGCAACTTCTCCATGGGCCGCTGCAGCCGGGCAATGGCCTGGTCGGGGGCATCGGACGCGGCGGTGATGGTGCCGCGTCTGTCTATGCTCTCCTGCAGCTGCTGGAATTCTTCGATCTGGGCTTGGATCGCGCCCTGGCGGTCGCCCGCTGTGCGTCGTGCTTCGTCGAGCTGGCGAACGGCATCGTCAAGCTGGGTCTGCAGCTGGTTTCGTTGCAGCTCGACATTGGCGAGGAGTTCGTCGAGGGATTCCAGGTCTGTCGTTGACTGGAGCTTGTCGTCTAGGTAGTCCTCCACCCGCGTGTAGAGGGACGTTCCCTGTACAAAGGTTGACGCCATTGTTGCTGGTTGATGTTGACAGCTAGCAGTGAACGACGGTGCATCGCGGGGTGAAGTTGGAGTATCGGCTAGGCGGGGCATGCAGGTAGTGGGACAATTGGCAGCGCACCATGTAACAGTGTACTCTGGCCAGAATGACAGCTCTATGGCCTCGAGTGTCGCCCATTCAACATTAAGACATGTTTTTGGATGCAAACATGCTTGCAGCACACTGCAACGGTGAATTGTCGGTATTGGTAGTTGGACGAGGGCAATGACAAAAGACTGTCATTCTCGCGTCCATACCAGGTAGAGTGCGGTAGAGTTGCAGATTCCATAGTTGTGAGCCTGAGTGATGAATTTGATTGTCGACAAACGGAATTTATTACCATGGAAAATATCTTTAGTTGTCCTGGCGTCTAAAGTCCAAGGAACCTTCATCACGAGCTTCAGCCAAAAAGAAGCATCGCGCGTAGGGTAGTCTAAGTGAACACGTGGACCAGGACCGGCATCTCAATAAGTGCAGCCCCATGTGAAAGCCAAGATCATTACCGCCCAGCCCAGAGCAAAGCCAAGAACGCGGAAGCTAATGGTCGCATTACTGCCTACCTATTGCAGCTCTGGTGGCGGAGCTGATGAAACCGGGAAAACGAGTCGTCATCTTATTAGCACGGACGACTAATTATGCGCTGCTGCCCAGCTCTCGCCAGCTTGCGATTGTCATGACAACGACCCTCGCTGCCAACAACATTGATCTCAGACCAAGCACAGCCCGAGGGAAAAATTCTTTGCTCAAATGGACGGTTCAATGCCAGCATCTAGTGATTAAATAGACCAATTCAAATCATCCAATTGATTAAGGAGCTCCTGGAGTGAAATCTGATCATGAATATCGAGGACCCTGAAATAAGGTTTCCCCAAGGCCAAGCTGCAAGCGCACCAGCCACCACAATTACGCCACATAAAACCGCTGAAAAGGAGTGGGACAGATCTCACAGCAGCCACTCACATGCCGACGCCACGCAACCTAGGTCGCAACGTCACCTACTCCTGCCGCGTTGCTCTGCCAACCGGTGGCAATGACAATAGAAAAGGGAGTGGCTGGGCAACCCGCTCACCACCATCCGCATCATCCCCGACGGATCAAGGCTGCGGTTGGCTCATTACCAGTAGACCTGCCACATGATTCCCATTCTCTCTGTTCCCGTCTCCTCCTTTTGCTTCCTCGATCGTCCACGTACCGACGACACTCATTCTTCGACCGAGCGCAAGCGAGTTCCAACTCTAACCTGCATACCTCGCAACCGAGAGACTAAGTGTATCCCTCCCTCCCACTACAAGCAACCCACCCTCTCCGCAAGGCAGTCTCACGTTGCGCATTCCAGGTCGTCGTCGCTCGTTCCCATTATCGTCTCGCCTGTACTCTTCCATTCCAGCCGTGCACTCCCCCGCTGCGAAGGACCAGACATCGACGAACAAGACAAGCTCTTTCAACGAAACACAACGTTCCGAGACTTCGACATTCCTAAAGCAAGTTAAGCCGACAGTATCGCACCTGGCTGGCAGACGCTCGCGCAGGTTTCCACCGACACCCTCAACCCCTCTCGCCATCGACGAGAGCGTGGGTGTGGGCTATTCATCACAACCCGACAACTCCCAACGGCCGCTCGCGCCTGTTTGGTCTGAGCGCACTGCTCAGAGACAACCGCTGCTATGGGCAGCAGTAGCAGTAGCAGTAGCAGCAGCAGTGGGAAGCCGAGATTCGGGATGCCAAAATTCCAATTGGGGTGGTTCCGTAAGTCATAACCCCAAGCTTCAAAGACATTCAATCGGAATGCGGGTAGCTAACGTGTCTTACCAACAGGCTGGGTACCATTTGTTGGTTACCACCACATGCTGATGATCTTAATTGCGGTTGCTATCATCCTATTGTCACTCCTTCTCGCCGGTTGCTCATCGTCATCGCCCCTGATCCCCGGCATCTTCCTGCTCTCCCTCTACTACAAGAAGTACGAGGCCGTTCCCGACACCGCGCAAGTCGACTACAATGTCAACACGGCCATTGCCCACATTGCGGGCGACGCCCATCTCCAGGCTCGCGTGGGTTACTTTGGCATCTGCATCAACCCCGACGGCGGCGCATGGCTGTGCAGTAACAATGCGACAGCCCTCGCCAACGAGGTGGCCGTTGACCAGGATCCCCTCAATCTGATCTGGCTCGCCGCGCAGTTCAAGGACATGATCGTCTTCCCCTACCTGATCATCATCGCCATCGTTTTCGCCTTCATCTGCTTCATCCTTCTCGCCACCTTCCCCGGATGGCACGAGGAGGAAGACTCGGAAGGCTCCGAGCGCGACGTCAAGCCTTTCCCGTCCCGACCTGTGTCTCAGATCGCCCTGGCTATCATCTTCATCTCCTCCATCTTCGTTCTCGTCTCGGTCCTCTGGCAACATACCGCATCTGTGGCCGCCTCTGTCATCGCGCAAGACTTTGGAAACGGTTCTGTCAGGTCTGGCGTGGGCACAGACGCCATGGTGCTCGGTTGGTTCTCGTTCGCCTTGCTCATCGTCGTGACCATTGGTCTCTTGGTCATGATATTGAGTATACGCGTGTTAGCCGACATGGCGGCGTGATGATGGAGATTCGACACGATACGAGGACATCGGCAAGATGAACAAATGATAGACATGTGTATATGGGATGAATGCACAGTAACAAAAGGTTTGGTCGCATCAGCATTGGCGTTTCAGCAGGCGTTTTCCATGATATTTGGGTTGGCGGTCAGGTCAGTCAGTCACTACGACCAACGGAGCTCCCGCGCATCTATCGCGAGGGAATTGAGGCCCACGATGGACATGCAATCTGATCTAATGAAGGATGGGAAATGCGGAGGACAGGCAGGTATAGGCCCGCCATGTACTAGTGTTAAAGATTGAGGATTTTTGATTTCGGACACGCAATATGATCAGATTCACCACATGTAAAGAGAAAGAAAGCTGTCTTGTGTTTGAGTGCTCGCGTGCTGTTAAGTTTCCATAAACCAACAAAAGCATACAGGGCCCAGTCAATAGTCAATACATACGCAAAACCCAAAACGCCCTTTCAATGCCGCCCATAAAGGACTAGTAATCCATTTTTCGCTATCACCTCTACGTGCTGTTGCACTTCACACCTCAACTATACTCACGCAACACGCTCATGTTGGGCGCTTAAAGGGGTGCGCCTCGGTGTTGAGCACCCACTCATCCAGACTGATGACGTCTGGCTCGGAGAAGAGCAAGTAGTAGTACTTGAGCGTCTCGGCTATCCAGAAGCTCTCCATCGCATCCAGCAGCTCAGGGCTGGCGGCCGTCACGTCGCCAACGGCACTGTTGGCCATCGTGGTGCGGGTGGCGGTCAAGGTGGCCTCAAACATGGTCCACCCCTTGTCCATCCAGGTCGGGTCGCCGGTGATGCGGTACATGTACCACACGGATTCAATGGCCTCGGGGCTGTGTCGGTTAGAAAACTGTCAATCGCAGGAAGGGAGGTACCGGGTCTTACCGAAGGATATAGTTGCGGGCATTGATGGAAACAAAACCAGGGGGGAATCCCTCGGACTTGATGCGTTTCTGCACATGCTCTTTGTGGGTGAGGGGCTTTTTGCGTTCCGTCTCGTGGTGCGGAGCGCTATCCTTGGGCACTGTCTTTGAGGCCGGCACATCGCTCTCGTCCGGTGGTGGAGGCGTTGGATCTCGCTTCTTGAGCGGCGCGCCTCGGTAGGAGTCTTCATCCTCGGTGTGCTCCTGAGCGGCCTGCTCGAGCAACTTGGCCTGCTCGTCGTTGAGGGCATTGAACGATTCCTTCTCAGCCTTCTCGATTGGCTTGGAATCTTCAAGCTCGGCGGCTTCCTTCAGACGAGCGACTTCCGCTTCCTCCTTAGAGTCTACCTTGTATGAAGCCGACTCTGGCGCGCCTTGTTCAGCCAGAGCCTTGAGATGTGCAGCCTCCTCTGCCTTCTCTTTGGATTCACCCTCCCATCGGAGCAACTCCTCTTCGCGCCACACCCGGGATGGGTCAAGAATGTCCCACCACTGGGTCTCGTTGAACTCGCATTTGTCGAGCGAGTCGCAAGGTATGACGTTTGCGGATTCTGGCATCAGACCGGACGGGAAGAGCTGGTAAGCCCAGACGCAGCCGTCGGTCAGTTGCTTGGCTTTTTCCACGTCGGCCTCGCGCTCGAAGATCTTGCCTCCCAGACCATACATGCCGCCGATGAAGCACGTCAAGTGCGCGATCTCGAACTGCGCCCGGATGTCGGTGTCCGGGGACAATGTCACCTTGGCGGGGAAGAGAACATCCCAGTCATCGGGAGCCATAGGCCTGAACATGAGCCACTCATTGGTGGCAGTGACGGCGTCCTCGTACAGCTTTTGGTACTTGTCCTCAAGGCCTCCAAGCAAAAGGTACTCCTTGGGGAAGTACTCGTAAGCAGAGTCCTGACCGCCACCCATGTGGAATGTTTGTATGCTATAGCCGCTGGGCACAAGACCCTGAGGCACACAATCCCACTCAGCGGTGGTGCCGTCTGCTTTGAATGGAGGGTTGCCACGCTTGATCTCGTCATCGGTCGCTGTGCGTGATTGTTCATCGCGCTTCGCCACAACGACACTGTTCCTGGCCAGTTCTTGGTTCACCCCCTCCTTCTCACCGGGGACATACCCGGCGGGGTCCTTGGCAGCGTCGTCTGTTGCGAGTTGAGCTTGTGCTGCCTTGCTGATCTCGTCGCGCAGAGTGGTAGCAGTCCTGTTACAACCTGACAGGTCGATATTCTCTGGGAAGAGTCCAGGGATCAACACGCCGTCTTTCGACAGTTGAACGAGACCATTAGTAATGCGGTCAATGGCATCATAGTACTTGTCTTCCTTGGTGAGCTGCGCGAGGCGTGTGAACTCCATCGACAAAGTGCCCAGCTCAGCAATGCCGCTCCTGGTGCTGGCACGTCGGGGTTGCGCGACGTCCTCAGGCTTCCACTGATAGTACAGCAAAGGCATGCGATTAGGGGTATCAAATACTCCAAAGAGAATCTCGCCCAGCTCGACAGCCTTATCGAGCAGGATCTTGTGGTTGCCTTCGGCCCCGCCACTGACGTCGTATGCGGCAAGCAAACCGCCGAGGTATCGAATGGTCGTTTCGAAGACGGGGATGTCGTTTTTCGGCGTCCAGGTGAAATCAATGTCGGCAACAGCCTTGACCGCTTCGTCGAATTCCTTCTTCAGGCCAGCGATCCAGAGCGTATCGAGAGAATCCACCAGCGTAGCGGCCCATCCGCAGAAGGGATCGCGATATTTGCCACTGACAGGCGAGAGCTCATCGTGCATCCAGGCATACTTGGCGTACGCACCCCAGCTGCGAGCAATTTCCTCCTTGACACGCTGCTGCCTCTTGACACGAGTACTCTTTTGCTCCTCGGACTCGGGCTGGAAATCATACTGGATCTGGGGGATCTTCTTAGGCGCGCCGCTGGGCAAGGGTGTGATAGACTCAGACGGGACTGGGAAATGCTCCGGCTGCTTCTCCCAGTATACCCTCTTGAATTCGGGAATGTCTTCCGCTTTGACTTGGGCCACGCCGGGGGGGTGCGCCAGTTCCACCTCGGGTTCGCTTCCCTTTGTATCATTTGGCGCAGTCTTGCTGGGGGTTGCTTTCAAATCCGCACCTTCTTCATCGTGTGATCCCTGCAGGACCTTGTTCGCGCCCGTCAGATCCTGCCCATTGCCTTGTACAACCTCCTCGCTGGCCTCTATCTCCTGTTCACTCAGTTTGTCCTGTTTCGCCTGGTCCCCAGAGGATGCCCCCTTGTCGTCCAGATCCGGTATCTCCACGCTAACGTCCTCTACCACCTCGCCGTGCTGATCGGCATATTCATTGTGCGAATCAACATAGTCGGCCTTGTCGTTTTCGTCCATGTGCGCTGGCAATTTCGCCTCCTCTTGCACGGCTGGGTTGGGCTTGACATGTTCCACGGGCGGCGTGGAGTCGTCCTGGTCGGCCGGGTCAATGTCCTCCAGCTTCTCCCGCCCTGTCTCGTACACAGCCCGGAGACCGCTATAGTTGGCGTCGTCCCATGAGTTTTGGACGACACGGTACAGTAGGAAGACGATGATAACCGCGCAGAACGTCAATAGACGCTGACGCCGGATGGGCAACATGGCGAATGAATGGTGATTGCCAATGTGTCCGTCGTGAGGTTCAGAGAAAGATCAAATGTGTCGAATGTACGTAGTAGATGGCATGCTTCTCGACTTGTCGCGTGAGCACGGCGCTCTTCGAGTCTGTCGGGCCAGTCGATCGTTCGGGGCGGACGATTGGGCGAGATACGCGGAGCGTGGTGTCGGGACAGCAGGCTGCAGCAGCTGTTAACTAAGATAGCCTTTGAGAAATAGGGTTCCCCCCAACAGAGCGACTGGAGAAGGTCAAAGAGAGCGGTCGGAAATGCAAGGGACTGGAGCGAGCGACATGCACCTTATGATCCAGATTCCAGAAGCGACAAACGGGGTTGGCAATGCGACAGGCATTTCGGAAAGGGGAGCAGCGGGGCCCTCAGATCCGGATCGTCCCTGCCGTAGCGCTACCCCAAGACTTGCTAATGTCTTGGCATAATTCAACATCTTGGCATCATTCTCGGGAAAGTCATTCAGACTCATCACTCGTGTCATTTCTGTTGCGTTGTGCCACAAGTTGGCTTAATTAAGGCGACAAGCTTTTGGTCTAGTGATTCTCGAGACTGCCTGAAACCAGGGAACGAAGCATCGCTTGGTGGTGAAGACGGAGCACTAGCGGTTAGCTTAAGGTTAATACCTTATTTCTCGACGATGGCTGTTCTGGCCTCACGAGCTAGCTAGCTCACTTATTTATCACATATATATTAGGTAGCCTGTCTAAATCATGTACTAAATTTTCAACCAATAAAACGAACAAAAATACAGCTACGATTCAAGCACCCGATATCATTCAGCATGCCGGATTACGCCACCCAATACCGCTGCATTGGAAAGGGCTTTTGCGGTAGTGTCTGGTCTCTCGAAGGCCACCAAGACGAAAACTCCGCCATTAAACGCGAAGACGGCGCGCCTGGGCGATCAGTCACCAATGACTACGAAATGCACATGCGGGTTCTTCAGAGCGCACATCGACACCCTCCCTCGACGCCTCTGTCGATACCTCAATGTCACGAGCTGATCCAACCAACTGATGCCTGGTGGCAACCGCGCCTCCAACAATTTCCGGCTGGCTACACTGCATGCCGAGCGCTCATTTCGGAGCGCATCCCGAAAGTACCAAGACGGATTAGCGACAAAATCGCGGACCTCTTCTGCGTTGGCAACACTACGCTCGCTGAATTTGTGAAGAATAACGCCGACGACAATGCCTGCCTAATTCGACCATATCTTGGACGACGACGTCGCCACAAGCAACAGTCACCAAGCACATCACGTTTTCAACGCTTCAGCCTTCGCAATGTTCCTCTCCATCTCGACCAGATGGAGGCACTCGGTTTGGATACCACGTCCTACGCCGAGACTATGGCAGACGCTCTCGCGATGATGCACTGGGGTGCCCGCATTGACGCAAACGACGTCGAGTTTGTGCTAGCACCTCCGCGGAAGGTCGACTCTCCATCCGCCTTTCAGTCGGAATACTTGGGCACCCACTGCATGTGGATCCTAGACTTTGACTGTTGCCGACCACTTACTATGGATGAAGCAGGTATTGAGCGAGCCTGCGAGGCGTTTTTCAAAAACGACCCTTTCTTTCCGAAACCTGGAACTGGGGGAGCCGCTGATGAGGATCTCTGGCAGGTATTCAAGAAGAGGTTTCTGATGGCTAGTCTGAGAATCATGGCCGAGGCAACTGAGGATGAGCGCAATCTCGCGGCGAAGTTGATGGAGAGAATTGAAGAGGAGGGCCACTTGAGAAAGAGCAGGACTGCGGATCAACCAGATTCAGCCAACTGAAGTTGGAAGATCACGCCTATCTAGGTATTGAGTCTACATCATTCCCCCATATTCAAGTCCTAGACTGAGTGTCGTCCAAGGATCGGTCTCCCGCCCTCGCCGTGTCAAGATATCCTCAAACGCTGCCTCTCATGGATTCCCATAGAATGGCGGCAGCGACTTGGCCATGGTGCTTCGCGTAATGTTGAGCTTACTCAAATCGACGCCGTGCAACACCCTGACGTTCACATTGTGATTCGCCTTGGCCGCGGGCACCCACTGCTTGTCAAAGTCACTGGCATTAGCCAGCCATTCCTCCGTGGGAGGCCTGTACCTGTTGGTCATGTGCACGCCACAGTGGCGGCAGAAGGTCTTGTCGATGATTCCCCGGCCAAAGTTATACGAGGAGATGTCTTCAGGATTCTCCGCATGGAGGACCACTTGCTCGGTTTTGGGGTACATCCAGATGTACGCGCCCTCAGAAGACCATTAGCTGCCATACGCGTAGAATAAAGAGGCATGACTTACACGTTCGCAAATGCTGCAGTTGCATTCGGCAATCTGGCTATCATACGTCTCGTCAAGGGGCTTGCTATGGACGGCGACCGTGACCCTGCCGCAGTGGCAGCTTCCGGTGGTCAGGACGCCGCCTTCGATTTCGACTTGTGGAAGAGGGCCTTTGTGTACTGGCGGGTCGTACGCCTTGCCTAATTTCTTCCCATTCACGCTGTGTAAGGCGTGAGCAACGTTTGATGCTTTCTTTCCCGTGCCACTTACGCTCTCTGCTTCATCTGCCACCCTTCAAAGTCCTGGAAAGTGCGCGCCTGTCCTCCTTAGCGGTGAATATCACTCCGCTGCTCACGACTACTCACATTGATGCCAAACTCATATCCCTTGGGCACGCCATGGCCCAAGCCTATGACGGCTATCCCGCAGATCTTGCAAAACTGCAAAAGTCAATACGAGTCGGAGAGTCTTTCTGTCCACCAGAAAGTGGGCGTACCTTGTGCTCGACGATACCAGACCCAAACGTGTAACCCGCCAACGCATCAACGCTGCCCTTGATGACCTTGAAGTCTTCCCGCGAGGGCCACACCATCATGTACCCCTTGCGCGCGCAGATGCTGCAATTGCACACCTCCACCTCCTTGACCTCAGGCATGCTCACCTCGTAGACAGAGGCGGCGCAGTGGCAGTTGCCCCGATAGGTCTTGTGGGGGCCGCTTTCGGGCACGTAGGGGGCGATGTCGTCCATGTTGGTGAGTGTGACGGATGACGGGCTTTGATGGAGAACAGATGGCTGAATAGTCAGGAAAGGTGTTGTATAAATGATGAGAATCACAGCCTAGAGGTGTAAGCACTAGACCTGGCGGCAACCACTCGTGCACGCGGCTGCACTTGGCATTTCACGGGGAAGCCTGGTGCCTGAATGCTGTATTTGGTTCACGTGCCAGGCTACCACGGCTCCTTCGGAGTGCTGACGCCTGCTATGATTGTGAGAACGATTGAACAAGAAACAAGGCTACAGTGGCAGAAATCAAGTTGAGTTAGAATGAGTCACACACACCCGTCGCTTCGTACATTGAATTGACGAATTTGTACACGATGCTACTACGCTCGTTCAATAACGCCTCGCCCCTTTCTTGCCATCCTTGGCGTCGTTTTGCGCTTGCGCGCTCAGCTCGATGGCTTCCTGTAGCTTCTCAATGACCTCTGGCTGGTTGCTAAAAGCCGTTGTCAATATCGTCTCCAGCTCGCTCTCGACCTTGGCTATGGGTTTGACACCCGTCTTGCGAGCCTTCGCGTCGTTGGTGAGCGTCGCCCAGCGGTTGGCGAACGCGTGGATGGACTGGCGCAGCAACTCGTCGAGCTGCTCGCTCATGTCTTCCAGCGTGAGCGTCTTGGCCGTTACGGTCGGTGCGCCGCCGCCGCGGGACCAGAGCGAGCCGCCAATGACGCTGCCGAAGAAGCTGACCCAGTTGGAAGGGCTCAGCGTGTCCCAGATCTGGCCAAAGTGCTGCATAGAGGCGGCGTGGCCGCGGATGTCGCCAATCTCCAGCGAAAGCAGCTCGTTCTTGATGATGAGAAGGTTCTTGATCATGAAGAGGTCAGGGTCGGTGCCGTTCTTGATGGAGCGTATCCTCGACTCTGCCTTTTGCAGGATCTGGATCGTCTCGCGGACAATCTTGAAGACGACCGGGCTGTCTTTGGACTGTGGGTTGGTCAGCGTCAAGGCTCTACAGGAGGGATTCGGCAGACTTACAGATCTTTCTTTGGGCATCGCCTGGTCGAACATGGACAGCAGCTCAATGGCCTTTTTGACCAGGACATGCGCGTTTGATGACGATGTACCCCCTTCAACAGGGCCAATTGTCAGAGTGTTGTCTTGTATCGTAGTCCTCGTGATCGACTTGTTGATCTCCGCCTCAAAGGCGCCATCGGTAAGGGGCCAAAGGTGCCACACGAGGAGCTGCGCAGCGTATTCCTTGCTTCTGCGGAAGAAGGGGGATTCTTCATCCTCGACTTCGGCCACCGAGTACTCGTTGGCCAGCCAGCCCACAATGTTGCACACGGTCTTGAGCTGCGACACCTTGAGATTCTGCTCCAGGAGGGTGCCTAGCGGTGCAAGATGGCCAGGGTGCACCATTGTGGTGTTGACAGCCTTGACGGTCTGGAACGCCGACTCGGGCGCAGAGCTCCATGTGGGCTCGACACTGAATACCCGGGTGAACAAGTTGTCTTCGTTGTATAGCTGCTCAAAGCACTGCTTGATGTAATTGCGCGAGGCTGTCTCCACCGACAAGCTCTTGACCTCCCTTTTGTACTCGTCAATGTCATGCTGCACCATGGTCTTGAGGTGTCGATCTCTGGTTGTGAGATAGACCTGGAACATGTTGCCGGCAGCAACCGTGTACGTTGAGAGATCGCGCGAAGAGACTACTGGTCTGCCCCATTGATCAAAGGCCCTTCGTACCACCTTTTGGATATTGGGCACCAAAGAGTAGGTGTCCATAATCATCTCCTCGAAGCGGCCATACGCCAAAGCGTGTCTCGCCGCGTCCGATTGCGTCGCCGCTATTTGTCGACCCATTTCCGACATGATCTTGTCCAGCCTCGCGGTGAACCCGTGATCCAGGAGATGCAGTGCCTTGGTCAGCAGAGCTTGGTAGCGGGCCAGGTACGTGTCGCGATCACGGTACTTTTCCTACTTCGCGTTAGCCTTGGTCCGGGCGCCCCATGCAGCACACTGACATGTTCCCCCATGAAGACAACGCAAGCATCAATGTTGGACACCATGTCGCCGAAATCATCATCTTCCACCAGCCGACTCGCCCCGGGCGCATTGAGTCGGCGCGTCGCGGTTTCGAGGTAGGCGTAGTAGTGCAGGTCTGTGCCCACGTCATCTGCCAGCTTCTCTAGTCGCCTTTGCTCCGTCAGGAGGTCCTCGCACTGCGAACGGAAGGACGACGTCTGCGTCTCGACAGACTTGAACGAGTTCGACATAGTGGCCAGGATATCCAGCGTCGAATTGGCGTCGTCGACCAGCCCAGTGAGGTGGCGCTCCGTTAACACCAGCTGGTCGCGGTACAGCAAGTAGTCTTCCTGGCTAGCCTGAAGTAGCTTCTCCTCGAGCGCAGGCTGGTACAGATCCAACCCTTGACTCTGGTGTAGACGTGCTACCGACTTTTCGCACAGCGCGAGACTCTCCCACCGCCTGTTCTTCTTGGGTGCCTTCTTTTTCTTCAGGGACACATCTTTCGACAGCTGCGCTTTCACCACATGGTAGAAATCAGAATACGATGCTGCTCTTCGAGTCAGGGTCGGCTCGGGTGGCGTATTGGTGTTCTCAATGTCTTCGTACACATTCTCGAGCTTCTGGGCCGCTTCGCCGGGCGTGGTGACGGTCCCCTATCCAGTAGTTTTAGTATCCCTGGATACTGATTCAATGCCCCGCGATGGGAGGATGGAGACCAACATTTGGCTGCTGCAGTAGCGACTGGCTTCGTCGATGTCCCGGCCCTTGTGCGCTGGGCGTCGATCGGTTGGGGTTGGAGTGGTCGACAAAGCTATACCAAGAGTCGTCGTACATGGTGGCTGCGACTGGCGATTTGCGACCAGCTGGAGGAACACGCCAGACACTCAATGGACTGGAGCTCCAGTCAGCTCCTTGGAGGTCGAAATCAAGCGGAGAAATGAGCATCCGACTGCCGACTGCGGGAGCTTTGGCGGGGCGCATTGGAGAAGTGGGCACAGTAGGACCCCGACGGCGGGCGGCAGGGGTCTGTCTGAAAGAAAGCTCCAGCGGCCAATCCCAATTCTCCCTTTTCTTTTGGATGACCTCACGAGTCGAGCTTCAAGACTCACTCCTCCAGTCCCTCACAGCCGCATCGAATATCAGCTTGGACTTGGATCAAATCACAGGATGAATGCTTCACAGACAGCTGTAAGGAGGACTGCCCTCCGATCGCTACGGTCAAGGCAATGGTCCCGACATGCCAGCAGCGCGCCTCCGCCTCCACCTCCTCACCCTCCTCAGCCGTCCAGTGGTCCGAGTGCAGCCAGGTTCATCGGCTACGGTGTCACCTTTGGAGCGGCGGCCGCCGGTTCCTACTACTACCCTACGCTAAAGGAGATCTTTATGGGTGACAATGCGCCCATGGAGATCCCCAAGGCGCAACCAGAGTTTGAGAAGCCGAGGAAGATTGCGCGGTCTGCCGAGGAGAATCGCGAGCTCCTCAGCTCGCAGCATCTCCAGGTGCAGAAGAGCTGGGAGCATCCCGGGGTGTACGTGTGGGGATCCAACGTTGGTCAGGTCGTGGACCCCGAGTCCAAGGACAAGTACGTCAAGCTGCCGCGCCGGCTCAAGTTCTTCGACGACCAGCTCCTGCGTGACCTCAAGCTCACACAGGCCTTTGGCGCCGCTATCAACGAGAAGGGTGATCTTGTTCAATGGGGCCTAGGGTTTTCTAATACCGACCCGTCACCAGTCGTCACGATCAAGGGCAAGGACCTGGCCAAGATCGACGTGTCGTCGGATCGCATTATTGCCCTGTCCAGGAACGGCACCGTCTATGCCATTCCTTCGTCCCGGGACGACTTGGGCGGTCTGTTCAAGCAGCCGGGCAAGAGCTCGTGGTCGCTGTGGAGCTCTGGCCAAGCAGCGCCCAGCCTACGAGATATCACTCCCGGTGGTCTCGGTTGGGGCGAGAAGGTCACTGATATCAGCAGCGGCCTGGATCACTGCCTCCTCTTGACGTCGAGCGGCCGGGTCTTTGCTGCTGCTTCGAGCAGCTCGGATTTCCCGGCCAAGGGCCAGATGGGCATCCCTGGACTGACATGGGAGACGAGACCCAAGGGACACTATGACCAGCCGCACGAAATAAGCGCCCTGAAAGGCTTCAAGGCCACTCAGATTGCCACTGGCGACTATCATTCGGCTGTTCTAGACAATGTTGGCAGAATCTTCACTTTTGGCGACAATCTCTACGGGCAGCTCGGCTGTGAGGTCGATCTTTCCGAGTCATTTATCACCACGCCGACAATCCTGCCCATTAACAAATTGTACAAGGGCATTGGGCTCACACCCAGGGTGACCGGCATCATGGCCGGCGGCAATAACCTGTACTTCACCGTGGATTCTGAGGCTTCCCAGGACGCTGCCTCCACAAAGTCGGCCGCGCCCGCCAGGAGGATGCCTGGGATCACGACCGACTTCTGGGCCGCTGGCCAAGGCGTGTACGGTTCATTGGGCACGGGTCGATGGACACACGTGTCCCAGGGGCCGACCAAGGTCAAAGCCTTGTCGTCTCTGTTTGAGTTTGACGAGAGCACGAACAAGTTAATGCCCATCAAGCTCAAGTCCGTCAGCGTGGGCGCGACGCACTGCGCCGCCATCATGGACAATGTGACCGAAACGTCCGTAGCGCGCCGCGCCCGCGGGGACAACGATGTCAACTGGGGCGCGGACGTCGTGTTCTGGGGCGGCAATGAGCACTACCAGCTGGGCACCGGCAAGCGAAGCAATCAGAACGCGCCCGTGTACATTGGGCCTCTGGATGGAGGGCAGGGCGACTCTGACAAGGGACGCAAAGGGGAGAGGCACAGGCTGGCCTTGACGCCGCGCGAGACGGCTCGTCTGGGAGAGGGCGGCAAGGGGCGCAAGGTCACGCTCGAGCAGAAGGTCGAGTGCGGGCGCTACGTGACGGGTGTCTACTCGTCTGTGTAACAATACGGTCGGTGATGGGCTCCCCGTGTAACATCAAGACAGTGTACATTTGGGCTGTGAGGCCTGCTGTATACTACTACCCGCGATCACAGGCATTGGTTATATAATTACGCATGTTTAATTACTTCAAATAATCCAAGATACCATCTAATTTCCACGTGGAATCCCCAATATCGGCACGTGGTCATGGACAGGGTTTCAGCAGTAGTAGTTCTTGGCCAGCTCCTCGCCAGGGTCGTCCAGTTTGACATGAGAAGATGCCAAAAGATACAGGCAAGGTCAGTGGACTAGCTGTTCGCTCAGAGCATTCCACTGACTAATTGGAATATCTGTTGTTCGTTCTAAATTCTGCACCTGATGTGGCAGTCTTCAGCTGCGAGGGACTTGGAGCAGAGGAAATGGTGTGTCCTCTGCCACTGAGGTCATACTACTATGGGGCATGGGTCCTCCGCAAGTCTCATTCATGATTTCATCACGACGGGGGCAGGGCAGGTGCTTATGACTTGTCGTCTCTCAAAGGTCCAAGGCCATGAAATGAGCACAAGATTCGTTCGCGCTGTCTTGCACTAAGGTACGGATACGTACTTTAGGTTTTGTCGATTGTCAGTGTCTCAGGCAGAGGCTGCTTGCCTGTGTCGGTTTATTGATGGCGGTGGTCAACTTGACGCCTGCAGGGCGCAGGCAGCTGAACTGGAGACTGGACCTGTACCCGCCCCAGTTGGCAGTCACTAACGGCCGCCGCTAGCTGAGCAGTTAGCACCCGACCAGGCAGCCTGGCGCGTGCCTGCCCAACCCATGATGCACCTCACCCTACAGTGCGGATCCATGTCCCGGACTGGGATCTGGAGGTACGACCGCCCGCCCATCAACAACACACCGGGACTCCGACCTCGAGCACTCGCTCGAATTCTTCACTTTTCATTCTCACAAGCCCTATGCGCATTCTTTCTTCGACCCACTGTCCCTCTAGTCATCTTTCGAAACCGGCGTCGCCCTCGTTCATACCCTGTACCATATGAATTTCTAACTTCGTCTCCCCCCTCCAATTCTGCGGAGCTGCGCGATCCCCAACGGCTACGGTAGCTCCCCCACATCCTGTCTGTCACTCGACAGGGCCCTTCACATTTCCCCCGACCCGACGATGGACAAGCTCCCCAAGCTTCGACGCAAACCGAAACCGCCAGCCATCGAGACCAGCGTCGAACGAACCAGCACCGACACGACCGAGAGCGCACTGAGCAGCAGCGCTGTGGGCGTAGGCGCTGGCGTCCCGGTGCAGATGGTCGAAGCATCTTCACGGCCAACAACCTCTCACAATGCAAGTCCTAGCAGCACGGGCAAGCCGGCGGACAGCCTGGGGAAGAAGAGCTGGCTGCAGAAAGAACACACGAACCCGTCCGGCAAGAAGTCGCCGTTTAGAAACCTGAGGCTGCGGCCCTCGGCGAAGCGCGCTAGAGAGAGCTCGCCAGCGGATTCGGGCTTGGGAGAGCCTCCCGCCACCCGCCAGGACGGTGTCAAGGTGAAGAGCAACGGGGCCAAGCCGCGGGATCGTCTGGACGGTAAAGGGGACGCGGACACGGACATGGAAGAGCCCAGCGACCCGGGTCCCGTCATGCCGTCATTCCTAAATCTGGAGAAAGAAGGTACGTCGAGCTCACCGGAAAAATGGGCACACAGCTAACAACGGCAGCCATCGACCTGAAATTCGAAGACCTCAACTGGGACGAGAGGATCAGGTTAAGCAAAGGCCAGGCGAACCACCCCCACCACGAATGGAGATGGGGGTCGTTTAAGCAAACGGACGTAAAAGAGAGGGGACTCATGGATCGATACGTCAACATCAAGCCCTGGAACCACAACCGCGTAAAACTACGGGTGCCGGACGGACACCTCGATTATGTCAACGCGTCGCTGATCACCGTTCGTCCTCCACCTGGGAATGCGCGACCGCCGCTACGATACATTGCAATGCAGGGCCCAACGGAGCCGTCGATACCCTACGTCTGGCGGATGATTGCGGAGCAAGTCAAGTCGCCCAGTGTCATTGTGCAGCTAACGAGCAATAATGAGGGCGGCATGGTCAAATGCAACCAGTACTTTCCAGAGGGCGAAGAGGGGTCCGAGTGGGATCTCAACGGCGAGGATGCCTGGGAAGACGGGTGGGGTGCCACCCTCAAGTATGAATCAGTCGAGCAGCTGCATGGTGGCGCGATCGAGAAGCGGAAGCTCTCGCTTCATGTCGAGGGTGAGAAGGAGCCGCGGACTATATGGCATTTCTGGTATCGAAGCTGGCCTGATTTTGGTGTGCCTGCAGACGACGACCTCGACAGCTTCTTTGAGCTCATGAGGCTGTCTCGGGAGCACAGTTCGCCTAACGGACCACGTGTGATCCATTGCAGCGCAGGTGTCGGTCGCACAGGCACCTTTATCGCACTGGAACATCTCTTGAGGGAGCTCGACGTGGGCGCACTCTATGATCCACCCGTTGACGGGAATGCATCATCCCAGCCCAGCAAGCCAGATCTCATCTACGACACGGTGCAGGAACTCCGCGAGCAGAGAAAGGGAATGGTGCAGAGCGATATACAGTACCGATTCTTATACCAAGTTTTGAGGAAGCTGTGGTCCGATCGGTATGGACCTGCCGAGGACGACGAAGACAAAGCGGACGGAGGCGTCAACCTGGATAAGCCCGTGCAGGCAACGAGCGCGCCGGAAGTGGACCCCTTTTGGGACGGCGACGACGACGACGAGGGAGGCGCCAGGCTACGAGATTCGGCCATGGGCAGCTAGAGACCGCGGATGGCATGTCGTGCCATGTGCCTCCACATTGAACGTTCGATCCGGCAAGAGAAGGCCAGGCGACAACGTCGTGCACCATGGCCCTGATCACTCGCCCGCGTCTCCTGTAGATTGAGAGAGGACACTCGAAGAAGACAAACGGTCTATAAGAAAGAAATGACAGCGATTGCGGTTTTACATTACGATACGAAGGATAAAGGAGGGTATCAACAGCGCATGAGGCGGCGTTCTCGAGGGTCACCAGATTGTGCGTGCATCATGCTTGGTAGAGCAGAGCGTTTATTGTTCTTTTCCCCAATAGAAGCAACATCCCGCGAGGGACTATTCCATCTCAGACAGGAGTGCCATCTCCTACTACTGAACTGAGCCGCTCCGTCTTTTCTGTATTTGCTGGGTGACCTATCTACATTTGCATCCTCATTACGTTCAATGTCACACTCATCATTTCCTGTTTACCATTCCCGCCTCCCTTGCCACCAACTATCCTGGCAGGATCAGCGTAGCCGTGACCGTCGCCGTCTCCGTCTCCGTCTCCGTCTCTGTCTCAGTGGACGTCGTTGTCTCCATGGACGTCACAGTGAGCCAGAGAGACACAGTCGGCGTACCACCCACGATGACCGTCGTCGCAAAATCAGGCATCTGCTCGTCATTGCCACCGCTGCCCTCCGTGCCGCTGCCGTTCTCCAAAGCACCTTGATCTTCCTCTGGTGCCGACGTGGCGCCCGGCAAGGGCGGGTACGTGGCTCCATCGGCCAGTGTGATCCTGACTTTGCCGTCGTCTGGCTCCTCGACGACCTGCGTGACCGTGTTGGAGGGAGACGTGGTCGTCGGCTCTGGCTCGTCGATGGGACTTGGCGTGGTGGTCGGTTCAAGCTCGGGCACGTCCAGTTCGGACGTGGGGTCTTGCTGGACCGGGGGTGAAGGCGAATCGGGCGTGGGGTTTTCAGCCGAGTCCTCGGGAGTAGGCGTAGTCTCGACGGGTGCTGGGAGAGCGGTGCGCGTGATGACTTTGGTGGAGGTCTTGGTCGTGGTGATAACCTCAGGCTCCTCCGCCACGGGGTTTGTTGGCTCGGGTTGGGGCACCTCTGTGGTGGCACTGGTAGGCTCCTCGTCCTCTCCCAGCTTCTTCTTTGCTTCGTCCACATTCATGCAGCCGACGCGGACGGTGCGGTCCAGCTCGCCCCATGGCACGGCGAAACAGCCCGTTCCGTCTGGACAACGCTCGCTGAGCTCCCACGTCCCACTGTCCGTGCACCTGTAGTGATCGCCTTGGACGCAGGCTGGTGCGTTGGGGTCTGTGCAGGCGTCGCCGGGCTGGAGGGTGTCGTACAGGGCGTTCTTGTCTTTGGCAAACTGGAGCGTGTCGCGGGCATCTTGCTCCTCCTTGGGGACGGTGGTCGGTGTAGGTGAGGGGCTTGCTGTGGAGGAGGGGGGTGGTATCACCACTGGTGTTGTTGTTGGTACTGGCTCTGGCTTCTCCACAGGTTGTGAGGTTGGCACTGGTTCCTGAGTCTCGAGAGGCGGAGATGTCGGCTCTGGCTCTGGTGTCTCGACGGGGGGTGATGTAGGTACCGGATCTGGTGTGTCGCTGGGAGTCAACGTTGGCTCAGGCTCGACAGGGACCAAGGTCGTGGACGAGGCTGAAGTCGACGAGGCAGAGGTCGAAAATTCAGGGATAGGGGTCGGACTATCGGGCAGAGGGTCCACTGTGGACTCGACAGGCTCACCGCCGTCAGCCGGGGGAGACGGCGTTTCGATGAGGCTTGTAGGTGATGTCGGGACCTCGGAGCTTCCAGGTGTCTCGCTGGGTAATTCCGGAGTGTGGGTGGATGACGGTGTGGTCTCGACGGGGGGCGTAGATACGACTGAAGTTGGGAGCTCGGGGGTTTCTACAGGAGTCGTTGCGCTTGAGAGGGGGTGGGTCGGGATGGGCGTCTCACTCGATGGCGTGGGAGTCTCGAGTGAAGTCGGAGTCTCCAGAGAGGTGGGAGCCTCCAGAGAGGTGGGAGCTTCCAGAGAGGTGGGAGTCTCGAGAGATGTCGGGGTCTCGAGTGAAGTCGGAGTCTCCAGAGAGGTAGGAGTCTCCAGAGATGTCGGGGTCTCGAGGGAGGTCGGGGTGACAGGTGTCTCAACATATGTTGACCCCTCTGTTGTCGATTCAGGGGTTGTCGTTGGGATGGCGTCCTCTTCAGTCGACCCTGGTGTCTCCGTGGGCTCGCTTTTCGGAGGGAGAAAGGTAATCTCCGTAATCAGTGGCCCGTCGCTACTGCTGTCCTCGTCGTCATCCGATGCACCATAGTCTGGCAGAAGTGAGGTGGGAAAGACGGCATCCGTCGTGATGTCTTCAAACTCGGGATGAGGCGTCTCAATAGCGGAGGTGACACTGGGCTGGTAAGCTTGCACGCTGTACGGATCATGGCCAGTAGACACGTACCCATTTTCAAGCTGAGCCTGTCGTGGCTTCATATTGTTGGGCGCTACATTGCGCATCCTGGGCGTGTCAGTCAGTCTTCATCAACCACCCCTTCGTAGGACGTACATTGAATCCGCCCATTTCAGAGGACCAGCCTCGACAATCTGCACGGCCATCCATGCATTGACTGCAGCATATGTCCAGTAGTTCCACCGCATGTTGTGCAGTTGATCGTACGTAGTTCGTCCAAAGAGAATGTAGTTGGTCTTTCTTTACCACGTCGTGATGCTCAAAGATTGTCGTGATAGCGAGGATATAGGAGAGTGGAATCAAAACAGCCGCCAGAAAGGAAATGATCAGCAATAGAGAGGTCGTAACGTCTCTTGTTCTTTTTCTTTTTTGTTTTTGGGGATTGGTCCTCGGATCTTGAAAAAATCCAAACGTTGCCAACAAAGACGCAACAATATCACAATGAGAGAGATGACTGGCGCCGTGTCGAAATGCCCAGAGCAGAGAGACAGAAGGACACAGAGAGAAAGGACTCTAGGAAAGACAGTAGGAAAGAAACACACAAGGAAAGAGAGGAAAGAATCTGTTTGATTCAAACACACATCAAGAGTCGCAAGTTTTGTCGGGAGACTTCCATTCACACAAGACGGACGGACGGCCACGACAGGACATGATACTTTGTATCCCCCAGCAGCCGCCGACACCCAAGCAATCCGCGTCGCAGGGGAAATTACGCGACCACCTCTCGGGCCCTGCGATCCGCGCGCTTCAAGGCCGTTGCGGCGCCGGTAGTTGAATGGTCCTGGACGACGTCGTTCGAGGTGCGAGGCCGGGAGAGCCAATCGATGCGGTCCCACATGTGTAGCCGCCGACCACCGTTTTGTCTGCTGTCCCCTACCTCACCCAGCTTTGTCTTCTTTTCCCTGTAGCGCAAATAGCAAGAGGCAGTACGATTCCGCCTCAGTCGCTAGCCCTGAATCAGGTTCAGGCGGGTTGGTGTTTACGGCCAGGTGAACTGTGCTATTTGCAGCGCATCGTGAAGCGCGTAGCCGCCCGTCCTCAACAAGCACGCCCTCAGATGCAAAGGCCTAGAATCCTTCCGTGCTGCCAATAAGAAGGACCCATGAGCTGTTCCATATAATTATACATTCAGCAGCTTCGCTGCTACACTTTTGTGATTACATGTATCCGTACATTTATGTAACATGGCCCCTGCCTCCTTGCAACAACAAGAACGCCAACCCTGGGTATACGCATTCGACAGTCCTCTATATCTCAGACCAGAACTTCCCTGGCTCTTCAGCGCGTCGCGCCAGTTCGGCGTAGACCTTGCGTCGCTCCTCAATGTCCCTGATGACACGCCGGTAGTTGGGTGGCACCTGTATGAAGAACGTCTTCTCGCCACGCTCCTGTCGCAGCCTCCAGTATCGCACCCACTTCAGCGTATGAGCCAGGCCGACATAGCCCAAGTCGCCCTGGCGCTCGGGGAACAGCTCGACCTCTTCCTCGTCAGGCCAGCGCCAGATCAGATCGTCCTGCTGCACCTGCGTGCGGATTTGCTCCACGACGTCCGGCGGCAGCATCGGTTCAGCGTAGCACCGGAAGACACAGAGCACCCGATGGAAATCTGCCACCGCAGGGACTTCATCGTACTTTAAAAGGTCCTCTCGCAAGCCAGCCTGTTTCCACTGCGTCATGAGCCATGCCAGGTATTTGGACATTTCGACGAATTCGCCCGTGAATGCCAGGGCGGACATGATAGTGTACGCAGACCCAGCCCCCACAGGATCCACGCGGGCTACCATGTGTTCGAGCGTGTAGAAGTCGGGCTTCTCCTGCAGCTTTTGGTTCTTCTCTTCTCTTGATCGTAGAGTTCGCACCATGCTTTTGAGCATCTCGGCACACGTTCTGAGTTCAGGAACCCAAGCGTCCGACTGGTCTTTCTTGGCCTCGGGGGGGTTTGTATGAGCCGCGCTCTCCCTAAGGTCATCGTCGTACACCAGTCGCAATGTCTGGAGCTCGCCCCCGCCAACGTCCACGTGCATCTCGTCCATGTGCACCGCAAAGGCCCTGTTCATAGACTTGCGGAGACACTTGCAATACTGGCGCAGCGTGGGTAGGCGCAGGTGTGACATCTTCTCAATATTGGACACAATGGTCCGGTAGCCCTTGAGCTGGGCGGCGAGTGTTGTCCCCTCCCACTCGCCCAACGGGGACCGAGGCAGTCTGTTGCTGCTGGCCCTCAGAATGGCGCCCCACATGTACCAACCCCAGAGTCTATCATGTCCGCTGACGTTCCTCATGCGCGCCGAGGTGATGATGATGGCCCGCTTGAGCTGGCGGGCTGGTGTCTTGTCGAGGCTGGTCAAGCACTTGACGTAGGCTGCCACGAGAGACAGCGGGATCTTTCTGAGCTTGCGGCCCCAGGCTCTCCTTTCAGTCTTGGTAAAGGTGCTCTTGGAAATCCCATACTCTGACAAGGCGAGGTTGTGGCTGTCTCCACTGTCCATCAGATATTGTCGAGCGCGATGTTCAGTCCTGGCGTTTCGGACAAGGATTTCAAGACACCCCAGGCGCGGCCGGATATCAGCTTCCCTCATGTCAGCATACAACGTATACGCATCCGGAGGCTGCCGTAGCTGACGTTCGTATTCGGACAGGTTGGTATCCGAATGCGGTGGGAAGTTGTAGGCTCGCTCTCCGGGAAGTAACCCCGATGTGGCTCGTACATCTTGACTGAACAGCTTGGCGAACATGGCTGCATACACTGATGGAGTGGGCTGCTGGCCGGGCACGGGCGGGTGATTGAAGCAAGCCCACGCTTCCGTTGCATTGCGGGTAGCACGAATCGACGCCGTCCATGTATCTGCCGGCCCGCCCTTGACGATTTCCTGCTTGATGGTCGGCGAGCCGTCCGGCGCCCTGCCACCAATTGTGTCCCACGCCAGATCCTCATCATTCATGGCAAAGCCAGCTTCCTGCTGTAACGTGCTGACCGTCACAGGTCGGGACCAGTTATCCTCCGGTCTAGTAGCCTCATCAATTCCATCACCAGGCAAAAGACGCGGTGGCCACGTATGCGCGTGCCGCAATACGTTGTGGATGTCCCCGGCATTCTTGGGCATGGCGGCAAGGACCTTCCGAACGGCGCAGAAGCCCTTGTAGTCGAATCTGAGGGGTTTCTCGAAAGCAGCCGAGGCCTCCAGAAGCTTGCTCTGTGCTTTCCAGTAGAAACTCGGGTCGATATGGTAAGTCGGTGGCAGCCAGCGATTCAGGGTCGTGCTGAACACCTCAAGCGCACTGTTATAGAACTTGCACTGCTGCGCAAATGCTCGGTTCGATCGCCTTTCCCATTCGTCTATCCTTCTCAAGTATGCAATGATCATGTCCGCGATCTTGGGCAGCAGTATCCCATCCAACCGCACGGCGTGGCCAGCCAGTCCTGTTGCGATGCGAAGGAATCGGTCAGGCGCAACTCGCTGAGCACCCGGCACTTCAATCAAGCTCGTACAATGATCGATCATTCGATCAAGAAGTTCTGGGTCTGAAATCGTCACCATATCCGACAGGATAATGTTAATTAGCCACGGCGGCCGGTAGCCTTTCATTTCCAAGAACCGCTCGCAGGACACATCGCCCGTTTCGCCTTCCAAGGTGTGACAGATGTCGTGCAGATCGTCGCGTGTGTACCCCATCGACCGCATTGTTCCAATGAGCAAGCGGCGATCTTTTCGTTGCGGTAGAAGACGAAGAAGGTTGTCTGCAATGGAGCGGCGAGCGTCCTCGTGCTGCTTCCATCGCAGCATGTCGCGCCGAAGTTTCCATTGCAAGACAATGAAAGAGGACCGGGGCGTTCTCAGCTCGGCGAGCTTTTTCTGCCATTCGGTTCGTGTTTTTCTGTCGCTCAGCCAGCATTTCCGGTAGAAAACGCCGGGGCCGCCATGCGTGATCCAGCCTTCACTCTGCTCGCCAGGGGTTGGGTCCGTCACATCGGATTCGTCATCGGCCCAAGATCTGAGGCGAGATCCCCCTCTGCCAATAGACCGTTGTGCATCGGAAGCCAGAACACGGGATGCAAACTTGTCCACAAAGTCGTCACAGTTTGGGCTCGTCTCGTTCTCGGCGGCCCTCGAGCGTGTCGTGGTAGGCTGGTCTTGATGGTGTTCTGCTAACAATGAAGGATGGGAGTGCGTTGCACTATTCGTGTCATAATCTCTCGCTGCCTGTGCGACTGGCTGTTGATAACGAGGCGCATGCGCTATGGCACGTCGAAAGTTCTGGTCGAGGTCAGTCCATATGATCACAATGGGAGGCCCCAAACGGCAGGCTCGTCGTACTTTTCTGGACGCCGCGAGGGCCAACAGCATGCGCTGTTTCTGCCCAAGCTTCCATGGCGCCACCTGAAGCATGCCGCAACATTTCTTCGCACTGCGTAAGTGGGCGACGAGTTGGACCTAGAGAGGCATTGGCTACGCGCGCTGATCTGGGGCCGGCCTTCAAAAAGTTGGAGGATCGCGAATGGGGCGCTTATTCATCTACAGAGTTTATGCATCAAAGAGGTACGAGACCACGACCAACATCATCGTCAAGCTTGAGTAGTAGGTATTGTCAATGTCCAATTCGACATCAGCCGTTCAATTTGAACTCTTTTGAGGTCTCTGGACTCTAGAGCTATTGCATCAAAAGGTCCAGAACCCCTTGGTTATCGACCTTTGGTGCCAAACGGCGACACAGGTTGACCCTGTCACCTCTCAGTCATTCGGCGACGCACCAATTTCCTTCGTTTTTGACTTGTCGGCAACTTCCTCGCCCTTCTCCTTGCGCTTCTGGACAACCTCCCAATTGTACACGCGAGCGATGGCCACTTCCATGGTCTATGTGATGTTAGCCAGAGATCAAATGCCAAGAACCCCTCACATGAAGCGTACCGTGATCTGCTCCCTCAAAAAGTCCAAGTCTTCCTCGCAGTTGGACAAGCTTGTCTTTGCCGTGGCAAGTTTGGTGCTCAGCAAGGCTTCAGCCTCGTCAATCGGGTACGAAAGCATCACATTGGCCTGGCTGTTGTCAGTATCAGGCTGGTCTGTAGCCGCCTTCCGAACTTACGCCCAGCCAGATGTTCACCTCGTCGGTCGGTGGAATATTCGCCCGCGAATACAGGGTGTCGTTGAGCTCAAAGGTGGTTTCGATCGGATCTGTCGCATCCTAGGACCTGTCAATCCATGCCTCTGCACACACACGCACAAACGCCCCCGAGCTCGCACACCTTTCTGAGTTTCAAGAACTGGACTGTCTCGAGCGTTTTCCGGATATCGGGAATCTTGTCGCGCAGACCAGCCATTCTCCGTTGTAGGTTGACCTCCATAAACTGGTATTTCCTGTTCGCGCTGTTACCACACGTGGTCGATGGTGAGGGTTCGTTCGGCAAGGCTTACGAGATCATCTCTTGGAAGCTCTTCAGGGTGGGCTCGACATCCTCGCGCGTGGCAACATAGTCCTCGACCTTGTCGACAAAGGGGGCGTACGGGATACCACGGGGGTTGCTAGGCGTCGCATCCGACTCCTTACTGTAGGCCGTCAGTGTTTGTCCGGGTGCGAATATCAACAGATGCCTCACCCCGTCTGGGCCTGTTTCCCCGCGCTCGCCATTCTGTTTATGTCTGTGCCGGTCTGAGCAATGACTGGCGAATCGGCAAGCTCTTGTCTAGGCTGAGTATTTCTCCGTTCAGGGTGGACTGTACGTCGGCCAAATTGTATAGTGACTAATCGGATGGCCCCGCGAGGGGCCCCATAGGCGGGCACCCAGGTGCCTAAATAAGTGTCGCACCTAGGTGCCCAAATAAGATTCCTTATATAAATAACGGCCACTATAGCCCGGCACCTTTATTATTAACTTATACTATATTAACGCCTTATAACTTCTACCCTAACGGCGGTTCTTATTAAAAAAATAATATCGTAAGATCTTTATTTAATTCGAACTTATAGCCTCTTATTCTATGAATTTCCTATTTAGGCTTAATCGTATCGCGTTATCGTTCGTAATAACTATATAAAGAAGCGTGTATTATTATTACGGCCCCCTCGCTTATAATATTATAACACGGTATATATATAAGTTATAATAAAACTAAAAAAAAAAAGTACGAATCCTCGCTCTTTATATTAATTTATTACTTTACTCCGATATAAACCTAGATCTATTAGACCTAGCTAGCGTGTCTTACGATAGAGAGATAGATTAAAGCTAATACTAAGAATTATCGCTAAATATAAGTTTAGAAAAGACTCCTAAGAGTTAATAACCCGGCTTAGATTAATAATTACGAATAGCTATATCTCTAACTTCTTTAAGTATCCGACGAACGTAAGCGGGGCTAGTTACTTAGCTTTAGTATAGAGGATATACTAGCCTATAATTATTATACTAAAGAGATCTTATTTTTTAATTATTAAACCGAGTTATTAAATTAATTATAATCTCAATATATAAGGGTATCGCGAAAGTAAATAAAGAGGGGAAGCTAGGTAAGTAATTAAGCGGTAGGTTATATATAATAATTATAGGCTAAGGTAAAGGTCTTAAGCACGAGGAATTAATTTTATATATAAGGCTATTAGCGATACTTAAATACGCTATTAAAGATACTATTAGTATTATTATTAATAACGCTATTATTAATAACGCTATTATTAAAGATATTAAAGATATTATTAGTAAAGCTATTGCCGAGCGTGCTTTCCGCTTAATTTAAGCGTAATACCTTATATAACGCTTATTATTCCTCTATATCCCTCTCCGCTATATCCTAAAAATCCTATATCCCTTGTCTATAAATAAATCTACCGCTAGTTACTTCCTCGGCTATATTAATAATAACCTAAGCCTTAACTCGCTTATCCTCTTTCTCTTCTTAGTCTAGATAGGTGTGACGGTTGGGTCAGACTAGCTATAGGGTAGGTAGATCTAAGGTCGGTTTATGAACTAAGTACACTAGGATATCGTTAACTTAAGCGGTCGTGTCACAGTCTATGTGCGAGACAGTAGATCTTGCGTAGACAATTATATTAATAGCTAAGGAGCTAGGTAAAGACTGACTATGGTGAAGCTAGGCTTCCTATATACTAAGTGAATATTATGTAGTCGACGATAGTCGACTATCGTCTACGAGCGCCTTTATAGTGTAGTCGACTATAGTCGCTAGTCGCCTACAGTCGTCTACTATACGTGGTATGCGGGTGTCGTATAATAGGCGGAAAAAGTAGGGGGGGCACGTAAGAGGCGCATACGGTCGCATACCGGGTCGTAATATAATATCTCCCCTTCCGAGATTCTGTCCTAGAATTAATCAAAACCCGTTAGTCGTCCTTCGTAAGTCGTGCTCGGCAACTTCTTCCTTCTATTATGCCTAACCGTGTGCAGAAACGCCGTACTACCTATAAGGAAATTAACGATTCCTATCGCGCCGCGTTAATCGAGGCTATTTATTTTAACGGACGATAGCAAGATACCCTGCACCCGTTGCTACCGTGCGAAGCGTGTCTATCGCATAAGCGACGATTCTCGTCGTTGCATCGCGTATATTAGTACGCGGAAAGTCTGTGATAGCAATAGTGTGGCGTCGTATCGTGTGTTCTTACTTCGTCTACGTGGTATATACGTGTTAACCGTGCGTAGTAACACGTATTATCGGAGAATAAAAGAAAGTAAAGGCGGATTTAGAAAAGTCCGATAAGGAATTATAAGAGTTATTAGCTCGTCGGGCTCGGTTATAGCGCTAGCGCGACTCCTTGCGCAAGCGTACTTCTAAGCTCGTGGCGCGCGGTATAAGGGATCTCGATAAGGAGGATAGCATCCGTTCCCAGGAGGAGGCCATCCTTAAGGAGCAGCAAGTAGTTAGTCGTGCTTAAGAGTTAGGGGCTTTTAGGATTATCGATTAGTCCGTAGTGCCCGATATATTTCCCTTTAATAATACTATCGCAATAGGGGGCGGTAGTTCTTAAGGTGCTTAGCGGGTTCCTACGTATTTTCGTTACTTATATAGCCTTTCTATTTAACGAGGTATTTAACTTCTCCGTCTATTATTTATTTATCGACGATCCGTTCTAGTTCGTAAAGTTCTTCAAGAACTTCTAGTTCGTAATTTATTTTTGCGTTTTACGGTGCCTTTTCGAGTAATAAAATATAAAAAACTAGGTGCATCTTTATACTTAAGGGTAGTGAAAGTTTGTAGTTAGTGTCTAAGATAACTTCGTTAATTTTGAATAGTCTAAGTTTTTTGTGATCGAGCTTCGGTAAAGGTCGAGTTATTATAAAATTTCTACGTAGTAGGTAGACCATATCTCCCCTCCGAAAGATCGGTCCCTTCGATCTTTTCTGATTATAGTACTTCGATATTCGTATACGTACGAATTCGAGCTATTTCTTTATATATTCATATAGTAAGCGTAACTAATCTACTTTAAGCATGGCTTTTTCAGCAAGAGGTCCATCCCTTAGTGTTTTATTGCCGAACTTAGGTTCGTATCCGTAGTTCGCGTAGAATGGTGAGATTTTGGTTGATTCCGTGGGTGCGCTATTATAAGCGAGTTAGGCGAGTGGTAACTTCGAGACCTAATCGTCTTACTTATAGTTAATATAGCACCGTAGGTATTGTTCTAGTGTTTAGTTTAACCTTTCTATCTATCTATCTATCTAAGGGTGGTAAGCTATGCTAAGCTTATGCTTAGTCCCAAGCTAAGCTATTAATACTTACCAGAACTTCGAGGTGAATATCGTTCCTCGATCCGAGATAATTTCTTCCGGAAGGCCGTGGTTAGCCACGATATGTTTGAGCACTATATATGCGAGTGTTTCCGCATCCGTTGCTTCTTAGTATAGTAGGAAATATCCGAATTTGCTTATCCGGTCCGTGATAACGAATATACTATTATATTCGACGTTAGATCCTGGTTCCTTGGATTTGGGTAGCTTCGTAATATAGTCGAAGGCTATCGATTCCTATAGCCTTAAAGGCACTAGTAGTGGCTTTAATTCTCCGTATAGCTTATGCCGTGCAGCCTTGCTACGTGCACAATCTCCACATTATCCGACGATACGTGCGACGTCTGCCTTAATTCCTTAGTAGTCGTACGTTCGTCGTATTCGTTTAAGAGTCCTTCTAACTCCTTAATATCCTGCCGTAGGATATGCATAAATATTAGTTAAGATTTCATCGCGTAGCGGCGGTAGTATCTAAAGACGGCTATCCCTTGTTAGGGCCTTGCCTTTATCGTTCGTATAGTCTTTGGGTATGCTACTCTTATTATTAGATACCCACGCTAGTATCTTATCGTAGTATATAGTATCTACTTCGACTCGGAATATAAGGGAGTTAAGTGCTATCTACACTAGGTTTCCTTCGTTGTTTTTCTAAAATATCTAGCCCTTAGCCTTAGGTACTTTAGTATCGTAGTCTAATCGGCGGCTAAGTATATCTACTCTGCTATTCTCCGATCCTTTCCGATAGATAATTTTAATATCGTAGTTAGCCAGGAACTCTACGTATCGTACTTGCCGTATACTAAGTTCGTGTGTTATAGCGAAGTAGGAGATATTTTAATAATCTATGTAGACTTTTATCCTAAACTTAGTTCCTAGTAAGTAGTACTTAAATTCTTTTATAGCTAAGATAATAGCTAAGAATTCTTTATCGTAAATAGGGTAGTTTAGTTCTACGCCGTGGAGTTTCTTTAAGAAGAAGGCGATTAGTCGTAGGTTGCTATTATCGTCTCGTTGACTAATCTATGCTCCTATAGCGTAGTCCGATATATCTGTTTCTAATTCGAGTGGTCTTTCGGGGTCGTAGGTTGTAAGTACTATATTTAATAGTATAGTATCTCGCAATCCTTCGAATGCTTTTTGCTATTCTATTTCCTACTTAAATTCTCCTTTTCCTTTAGTAAGTCCCGTGAGTAATACTACGATTTTCGCGAAGTCGCGTATAAAGCGTCGGTAGTAGTTCGCAAATCCCACAAATACTTATACTTCTTTGAGTGTTATCGGTACAGGCTATTCTTTAATTATATTAATCTTCGTTTGTTCTATTAGGATTTCGTTTGGTCGGATTATATATCCGAGGAAGACGGTTTCTTGCATATAAAACGCGCTCTTCTCTAGGTTAACCAAGAGGTTCGTATCTTAAAGTATTTTTAATACCTAGTGGACGTGTTTCTTATAGTCTTTAAGGTTTTCCGAGAAGATTAGAATATCGTCTAGATATGCTATAACGAAGATATCTAGGTACTCTCTGAGTACGTTGTTAATCATTCGCTAGAAGGTAGCTAGAGCATTAGTAAGGCCGAATAGCATTACCAAATACTCGAATAGACCGAACTTGGTGCGGAAAGCTATTTTCTATTTATCTCCTTTCTTTATGCGGATTAGGTTATAGGCTCCTTTTAGGTTAAGAGCGGTAAACCAGTTCTTGCCGTGAAGTCTATCCTTAAGCTCGTTAATAAGCGGCAGGGGTGTCCTATCCTTGATCGTGATGTTATTAAGCTGCCGATAATCCACGACTAATCGTAGCTTCCTATTCTTCTTAGGCACGAATATAACGGGATATCCTGCTTCCGAGGTAGAGGTTCGTATATAGCCTTTCTTAAGTATTTCGTCGATATATTCTCGTAGTATCTTAAGTTATTTCTTATTAAGGTTATAAAGTTTATAGAACTTAGTCGAAGTTCTGGTTTTAAGATAGATTTCGTGATCTTACTAACTATATTAAGGAATGCCCGTTTCGAGGGTTTCTTTAAACAACCTACTATATTTTCGGTATTCTAGCGGTATATTCTTTATTTATTCTTCTTCTATTATAGGTTTTTTCTTTCTTTCTTCTTATAGGGCTTGGTTTGCTTCAAACATCTTTTGTATAATATTAGCGAGGATTCGTTTTCCTTGTTTGTGTCGTATACCCGGTTGTATAGCCTTCTCGGTTAGTACTACGGCTTTTGCCTGCTTCGGCTCGCTTATGTCCTTTGGTAAAGATCCTTTAGAGGCTAAGTCGTCGCGAATATTCGCTTCCTTCTAGTTAAATAGTGATTATCGCGTTATCGTGTCTATCCACGCTAATTAGCTAGTACGCTAATCGACTACCGGATTACTTCTCGTTAACTATAGGTGACCTAGTATTATATCGTATTCATATAAGTCTATAATATCGAAGACGATTGTCTTATAGTATCCTTATATCGTTGCGTCGAGATAATCGGTCTCGCGGTCGATAGTTCTACTATTATAATCGAAGCTTTGTCCTTTAATATTAAAAAGCTTATATGCCCGAGTCTTATAATTCTATGGCAGCATATATCGGTTAACCACTGCTAGTGAGATATAGTTGCCTATTGCCCCACTATCTAATAATGCTCGTAGGCAATATCCGTTAATCTAGACTTCTAAAACCGTTTTCTATCCTCTATCTATCTCTACGGAGCAGAGGGTCTTTGGGTTTCCTTCGTCGTCCTATGCCCTTTTTATAGGCGACGTTAATAGTTTTTTAACGGGTAGTATTCTATATCGATATTGTCGTCCTTAGGGTCGTATGCGTAGCTGCTATCGTACGACTCTAGGTATATTAAGGGATATCGTTTTCCTTCCTCTTCGTATAGGTGATATATACACCGGTAGTAGTAGACTCCGTAGTCTAGTATATATCCTTCGAAATACCTATATATAACACACTACATGCATGCCTTTCCTTGTGGAATAAGGCATTCTCGTGCCTCGATCCTATGTCGTAGGCGTAGTGTTTTCTTTGCCCTTTCGTACCTTTCGCGGTCCGTTCGACCTTAGTTAATATAGTCTCGGTCCGTTTCTTCGGTAGGGTCGAATAGTAACCTTATGCCGTTAGGGTGCTTCCCGCATCCCTTGCACCCTTGCCCGTAGCTTAAGGCGTATTCCTTACTCTTGACTATCTTGATGCCGAGCAATGCCTTTGCGGCATTCTCGTGTCGCCGGAGCTCTTCTATCTCCTTTTATTCCCTGGTTCTATGCTAATCGAATACTTTTGCCTTAGCGTATCGTGGACAGTCTACTGATTAACACCTACGCTATATCTTCTAGTCTCGTGCGTATACTTCGGGGCATTTTACTAACTACCTTAGCATCACATATCCTACGCTAGGTTCTACGTATACACGCTCGTAGAACTCTGCTTTATACTTTTCGTATAGGTCGTTAATAACGCGGGTAGCTAGTCCCCTAATTAGGTAGACTTAATACCTTCCTTTATTAGGTATATATATCCTGCAAAAGTAATATACACAAGAGACCTATAAGAGTTCGTAGTATTTTGGCGCATCTAGGTATATACGTGGGTCGTCTCCTAAGACCATTCTTCGGTCTATTACCTAGTTAACTCCTCCGTCTAGTGTCTAGGCGGGGATAACTATCCAGAGGTCTTCTCCTTGCGGCAGAGGGTCGTATCGATCTATTGCTACTTTTATCCATTCTCGTGGGGTTGCTCGTCCGTGCAGCAAGTTAGTCTCGAGTATCCTTTTCTTCTATAGTAGTTCTTCTTCGTAGTCTAGGGCATCGGTTATGTCGCTTCCCGAATCATCGCTATTTTCAGGGGTTATGGTGATTTTCTGTATGATAGCAAGGGTCCTTGCCTTCGGGGCTTTTAGAAACCATCCCGATTCTTCCTTGCTGTTTTTGTGGGTATAGCAGTCGTTATCATAGCATCCCGACTAGTATAGGGCTTCGTGCGCCACTGGTTAGTTCACGGGTTGCTTATTGACCCTTTTTAGCATTTTTTCCGTGTTGGCTGCTTGGTTAGGGTATGGCACCTCAGACTAGCTTGGATACTTCGTATCGTAGCCGGACCTAGTTATATTTAGTTATTTCGGCTTACCTTCAGGTACTGGTCTCCAGCCCTGGCTTCGCCCCTTCTTTGGTGAGCGGCATTCGCGCTTCCAATGACCTAGCTTGCCGCAATTGTAGTAGGTTGAGTTTTTCTTATTATTGTCCATCGCGGCGAGTTATCGTTACATAGCATCCAGGTCCATAGGTCCTGGGTTTATCGTATGTGCCTATGCTGTGTTCTGCTGTCGGGGGCGTCCTTGGTTTGGTTAGTAGCGACGTCCTCCGTTATTATTGCCTCTAAAGTTCGGGTACGATTGGTTTATATTTCTCCCTTTTCCTAATATTTTGCGCTTTAGGTATAGTCGGTTGTCGATCCTAATTGCGTTCGTGATATACTCCGTGAGGGAATCGGGTGTGTCTTTGTCGTAGAGTTACTCCTGAACTTCTAGCTTAAGACCGTTGAAGAAGTAAGTTATAAGGGGTTCATCGTCCTATCCAAGCCTACTGGATAGTTATCGAAACTTCGATGCATAGTCCGTAGCGGATCCCGTTTGCTTTAGGGTTCGTAGGGCTTTAATGTTGACTCGGTTCTTATCTATATTTCCGAAGACGTCCTTAATAGTGTTCTCGAAACCTTCAAAGCTTGCGAACATAGCTTGAGTTTCGTTGTCTTAGAGGTTGGCCGTAGTCTCTATGAAATCCCTCATGCGTGGTTCGAACCACGCCAAGGCCGTGCCGGTGAGACATATTCCTGCGTGAAGGATCTTATCTATGTCGTCGGCGAGCTTGGTAGGGAACAGTCGATGGTATATCTTGAGCTGAGTTAAGAACCCGTTTAGTTGTCCTGGGTTGCTATCGAACGGTCTAGGCGACTTGGGTTTGATCGTCTCGCTAAGGTCCCTGGCGCCGTTGTTCTCTATATCGGCCATGGTGTCGTATTGCTTAAGTACTTAACACGGTAGTGTACTGAACAAGAGCTATTAATATATGACGGTTAGGTTAGACTAGCTATAGGGTAGGTAGATCTAAGGTCGGTTTATGAACTAAGTATACTAGGATATCGTTAACTTGAGCGGCCGTGTTATAGTCTATGTGCGAGACGGTAGATCTTGCGTAGATAATTGTATTGATAGCTGAGGAGCTGGGTAGAGACTGACTATAGTAAAGCTAGGCTTCCTATATACTGAGTAAATGTTGTGTAGTCGACGATAGTCGACTGTCGTCTACGAGCGCCCTTATGGTGTAGTCGACTATAGTCGCTGGTCGCCTACAGTCGTCTACTATGCGTGGTGTGCGGGTGTCGCATGATAGGCGGGAAAAGTGGGGGGCACGTGAGAGGCGCATGCGGTCGCATGCCGGGTCGTAACACTATAACTCGGCTAGTATTATCGAACTAAATATAATTCTAGAAGCCTTTATTCTTAAGTTTATTAGCTAGCGCGTATATAATACTCTCCCCCTCTTAAAATTCTTTCTTACCTCGCGTAATATAATTATAAATATCTTACTAAGTCGCTAGTATATTAAATTACGTATATAAGTAAGTCCGAATATCCCTCGGCTATACTCTAGCGCTCGCGAGATTATTAATTATAGATTTATTAATATTAGATAATTAGCGATAGATTAGATAAGCTATAATATCGATATTAGGGCTATAGTTATAATACCCGAACTTAATATTATCGCGATATATAAAGCGCTAGACTAACTTATTAAGTAACTTTTTTACGAGGATCGAGAACTCGTATTTTATCCGCTTAAAAGTTATATTCCGTACGCGCGGAATAGATATATCTAGCCTTACTCCTCGCCGATTATAGCTAATATATATAACCCGCCGATCGCTCGATATTATTTTCGACTTCGTGCCTATAAATATATAGCCTCTAGCGGCTACCTATATATTAGCGGCCTAAATAAGGGCTTCGCGGGACGGATAGTTATTCTTAGGGGGTAAAGTATTATTAATAGATACTTTAAGAAGCAGAGAATCGCTTATAATTATAAAGGGGCCCTCGGGTAATAATTAGTAACTTAATCGTGCGTTAAAAATAAGGCTCGCTAGGATACTCCTAAGGAAGGAGTCGATTATATTTAATTATACGTATAGTAAGTATCGTTAATAATAGTATCTAATTAGTATAAAGGCGGCTTTTATAGGCCGTTGCTTATATAAGGAATCTTATTTAGGCACCTGGGTGCCCGCCTATGGGGCCCCGCCCCGCGATTAGTAGAGCTCCTAGTTAGCAGTGGGTGGAGAACAAATTCCAAAAACAGTTTCCTTTCGATATATGCCCCACGTCAACGTCACGGGTCGTCTGTAATTAGAGGAACCCCCCAAGGAGAAAGAAAAGATGCCCGACTTTCCATATCTCTCTTCATCTTCGTTTCTCAGAAGTACAACGTGCCTTTTTCCCTTCGAATGAAAAGTTCTATACGTAGCTGGTTATACCTATGGACTAGCCATGGTATCTGTTGCCAGGCAGAACAGATCGATCTTACAATACGCCTTCACGCCTCGCAATAAGCATTAATTGAATGATTGACATATTAAGGGGCAGTAAAATTAAGATAATATGTGTCGCTATCATACATGCTTACCACCGAAACTCCAAAGATTGCGGTCCACCTAGTCGTCATTGTCATAATCACCGCAGGGCACGCCTTGCAGTTGTCTTCACGGAGCCGTCTAGTCGGCACGCTTCGAGTCGGCGTCGACAACTGCCGCGGCCTTGCCTGTAGCAGGCATTGGAGCAGTATCGTCATCGTCCCAGTCATCTGGCGCATTCTCGTCCCAGTTGTCGACCTCTTCCTCCAATGATCGTGTCCGCGGCGCCTCGCTCAAGACGCCATTTTCGTGGCCCTCGCCGAGCTCAACGTCGCCCTCATCGTCACCGGGCACAGCATTATACGTCTTGCGTTGTCTTTTCCTCTCCAGCATGCGCCTGTGGTATAGAGCGCACAAGCCCAGGGCGGCCAAACTGCCTACCACGTTGGCCAGGATATCGTACACGTCGAAATCGCGATCATTTGGAAGGAAGCTCTGCACAAACTCTGAGCCCACGCCTAGGATCAACGTGCAGACGACCAGAGTCATGTGTAGGGTGCGCCGACGGGTCGTATCGACAATCCAGTAGAAGACCACCGTGAGGAGGAAGAAGGTGACGAAATGGAGGACTTTGTCGTTTACATATTCGCCGAGTTGTAGCTTTGTGAGCCCGGCGTAGGCAGCGGCGAGGAGAAGGACGACGAAGACCGCTGCTAATGGTTAGCTGACCATGGAGGTTGATTGATCTTCTCGGAGCTCACCTGCGAAAGGTAGACGTATGCGCATTGCTTCAAGTCCTAAGACGGTGACGTACGGGGGGTTGTAAGGCTTGGCGTCGGTATGAAACGGCGATGCGTCTCGAATCAAATATTTGTGCTATGAGAACTTTGCACAATGATCGCAAACTGCAGATGGATCGTTTGAACGTCAGAAACTCCCCATCAAGCTGGCAGAACCGACGAAGCTGGCGATTGGGTTGCAAAGCTATTGTGGCCGAGTCCAGACTGGCAGCTCCAGGCTCCAGCCACTCAGCCCGGAAGCAGCAGCCACGCTTTCGACAGGGGTCATCCCGCCGGTGGAGGCTGTGGAAGCACCCGCATAGGACCGTAGTCGTGATGAAGTCATGGGTCGGGTTACCAGGTAACTTTGCTAGCAATGTTCACATTTATCATCAACGAGATCATAATTGCATGTACCTTGATCCTATAACTGGGACTCTATGCCCAAGATGAAGAGGCGTCTGCTCACACTCAATTCCCGTAGCGCCGCGCTTGAATCGCTCAGGCTCAATACGCGGTCACGTGATGATGCTGTCCGCCCCGGACATCGAGGTACCTTACGCTGCAAACATACGAGGCATGCATCGAGCGCGCGGCATTTTCGAGTGAATTAGACATCAATGAGATGAAATACAAATAAATAACACCCTGAGATAGTCGGAGTATATGAAAATCGTAGTCGCTCTCGACCAGGATCCATCCAGAACGTACGCGCTCCCATGTTCCTCAGCTCCCCCAGAATCACGAACCCCCAAGTCCGGTCCCGCTTTAGGAAAGGCCCAGCCTGGGACTACTCCGACTTCACCCCATCGCAACACGGTCAAATCCTCCCATTGCGCGCCATCGGTACACCTTCAAATCGGCCATTTTCATCACGAAACTCGTTGCACCATCCAGGTGGAGGACGCTCTTTTCACCCATGCCGCTCTGAGATAGCCATTCGCCCTAGTTCCGGCCCGACGCGAGCGCATCGTTTTGCGCATGGCGACCGGTGCCGACCTGTCGCTTCTATCGCCAGGGCCCCATCATGTCTTTTACCAACGGCCGACATACGGGGTCAACTCCCACGTTACATCATTCGAACAGCAATAGGAGTTTGAACATCCCCGACGATGTTTCTGCGCGTTCCGCCAGGGAGCCTTCCGCCCTAGGACCCGAGGCCCCGGTTGACGCCGATGACAACATATACCGTACTGTTTTCGCGGATCTGTATCGCAAAACGGAGGACAGGGTCGCCCTGTTGTTTGGCGATAGCGGTCATTACAATCGCGACGCGATCGATGCGCTCCGCCGTACCACCGTCAATGCTGAGATCGGCACCCCGTCTGTGCTCCCTCCGACTACCGACCACGAAGAACCGCAAGAACCGCCTCGCAAGAAGGCAAAACGCGACATTGACGAAGAGGACTATGGCGATGATGATGAGGAGGACGAGGAGGGCGATGGGCCGTCTGGCACTGCAGCTGCCAAGACGCGCACATCCGCGGCCGGCGCGCTATTGTCTCCTTCTAAATCCGGCAGCTCGCCAGTACAGTCTGTGAATTCGCCGGACAAGCAATTGGTCAAGGTCAAGGTCGAGCCATCGACGCAGTCGCAAGAGAAGGATGCAGGCAACGATGCCATCAAGACACTGGAAGAGGAACACATGGCCGCGGAGGAGGCAGCGCGGAGGAGTTTCCACACTATACTATATACGCTAGAAAACGACCGGGCGGCCATGCTTGAACAGCAGCGATTGGAAGATTCGGAAAAGCAGCTTCAGGCAGAGATGGACCACAACACAAACCCGAATGCTACCGGCCAGGCGGCGACCAACCAGGGTTCTCTGGCCAGCGCCAATCTTGGAGCTTCGAGCCTGACGCTCAAACACCTGATTGCGCGCATCGATATGAGGCGCGACGAGGTTGAGGCGTCCGATGCCGAGTTGCGAACCCTCATGAACGAGGTTAGGAAAAATCGCAGCAAGTGGGCCAGCGAGGAGAACGTAAACCAGGAGGAGCTATATGAGGCGCTCGAGAAAGTCCTCACGGAACTCAAGGCCCATACTGAGTACTCGACGCCGTTTCTGACAAGGGTCAGCAAACGAGAAGCGCCCGACTACTATAACCGTTAGATTCCCATCCCGTCACACGGTTCAAGGCTGACGCATACAGTGATAAAAAATCCTATGGATCTTGGTACCATGACCAAAAAGTTGAAGACACTCAGTTACAAGTCGAAGGACGAATTTGTCACAGATCTGAACCTTATTTGGGACAACTGCTTGCGCTACAACCAAGACATGAATCACCCCCTTCGACGCATGGCTAACGGCATGCGCAAAGAAGCAGAGAAGCTCATTCCACTGATTCCAGACCTCGTCATTCGGTCACGTGCAGAGGTAGAGGCCGAGGAACGTCGTAAGCAAAATGGCGGCGAGGATGATGGCGCAGATGACTCAGACGACGAGCCGATAATGTCGTCTCGCGGTCGAGTTACTGGGACCAAGGGCGCCAGTGTGACCGCGAACAAATCGAGGAAAGCCCCCAGCGACAAAAGGGAGGACACACCCGTGATGGATCAGAAACCTGTGCTACAAGTCAATGGGCTCCTGGGGAAGCACGGCCGCGAGGACTCCGAAGCTGTCGAGGGAAGCAATGGGTTTGGGACGCCCCCAATAGGGGGCTCCAACACTCCGGCTGGAATCCATGGCGCCTCTGGGGTGGCTAGCAACGCTGACGCGATGGATGTCGACGGGCCCAGCTTGAATGGGCTGGCCCTTGACTCCGCGTACAATGAGGCTGTAGAGCAGGCCTTTGAGGACGAAGAGTACAAGATCTGGAAGCAGACCACGAAGAAGGATCGTGCCCTCGCCGCAAAGGAACGCCATTTCTTGTTCAAGGACAACAAGTTGAACCTAGAGGCTACCGCCGCCCTCCGAACCAAGGCAGCCATGCGCCGATTCCTCAAGCACCAGCAAGAGGCAGCCACGTTGGGCAGTAAGGATGCTGCGGCCGACGACGCCGGGCCCTCGACCAACGACACGAGCCAAAAGCCTGCGGAGACACTGGCTGAAGGCATTGACGAGGAAGTAGAGAGAGTGATCCCGGACCACTATGACGCGCTCAGCAATATTCCCGACATCCAGACCAACTTTCGGTGGATCGAGGACAGCGAGGGTCACGTCATCAACCAGCACGAGGATTTCCTACGTCTGGCCCCGGAGGGCGCGTTTCGGGCACCGCAAAGTCGTCTGTCAAAGAAGATTGACGACAATATCCACCAGATCCAGGAGACCCGTAAGCTGGTGAACAAGATCTCGGTTATCAAGCAGATGCAGGTCCAAACTCAGGTAAGTCTGCTGGTCGATGTTGTTTTCGACCATGTTGTTAACACCACTAGGTCTTTTCAAATCAGTTTCCCAAGATCAACTCGGAAGGTTTCCATGAGCAAGACATTGAGCCGCACTTTATTGCGGACAATGGGCCCGTCATGGCAGCCGAGACTTGCCACGATGCGTTGCGTCGCTCAGTCACCAAGATCTTGTACCACACTGGCTTTGAAGAGACCCAGCCGTCGGCTGTGGACGCCTTTACCGATATCGTGGCAGACTATTTCCAAAAGCTTGTCAAGACATTCAGCACATACACTGAGGTAGAGCAGATGTCGGTGGTCACCAAGGACGGTACCAAAGTGGAGTCTAGATACACCCCAGAGGAAGCCGTCCTGCATACGCTGGATGAGAATGGTTACGATGTGGAGGCGCTCGACACCTACGTCAAGGACGACTTGGATCGGCAATCGAGCAAACTTGCCACTATGCACGACAGGATGAAGAATCACCTGACAGATCTCCTACGCCCTGCTTTGAGCGGCGAGGAGGGCACTGATGGCGTCGGAGCCTTCAGGGACGGCAGCGACACGTTTGTCAGCGGCGATTTCGCCGACGATCTCGGGGAGGACTTTTTCGGCTTCAAGGCACTCGGGCTGGATGGAGAGCTGGGAGGCGCGCTGGCCGTGCCGTTCCACCTCCTCCAGACGCGCGTACGGAATCAGTACCAGATGCAGACACAGACCGCGGGTCCGGATGTGGCCGACCTCTTTGAACCCCCTGAGCCGCTCGAACCGATCACCAAGGGCAGTATTCAGGGACACATTGGGCTGGTCAAGAACTTCTTCTGGGCCAAGCTACACGCTAATGGCGATCAGCCGCTGGTCGAGGACGAGGATCTTCCGGTCAAGCAAAGGAAACCACGTCCTCGTCTCGGTGCTACGGGCAAGATCGTCTCCGCCCAGAAGCGGCCGCCAAAGGAGCAGCTCGCACTGGCGAAGAAGAAGAAGAAGCTCGAGGCTGCCGCTGCGGAGGCGAAGCTCAACGCTTCACCCGGAAAGGCTGGCTCGGCCAGCAACACGCCCATGAAAAAGAAGCCCCTGCCCAACGGCACGGTGCCGAACCCTGCCGTCCTGGCGCTGGCGCCCTCCATGGAGCGCTCCGAGAGTATGCAGAGCCAAGGTGGCGCCAGTCAGACAGACAAGGACGAGGGCACGGGCATGATGAGCCCAGAGAGCATCGCCCAATAGGTGGCGGTGGCCACTCCGCCGGGACTGTGTACATGTCCGGCACAAGCAGCGACAATCTTCATTTGTATTCTACGCCTTCATTTTTGTACCCCTATACTGGTGGTTCCTTTTTCCTCTTTTTTTTTTTTTTCCTCTCCTTCCCCCACCTTTGTTTACTCTCTTTATGTCGCACACAGACAGGCGTTGGGGGGGCACATGCAATGAATGCATCAGGCGGCGTCCTAAAAGCAGACTTTGGCGACGCATACACCATGATATACCAGTTTACGAGCGGCGACAGGCGCGGACAGATCTTTTGAGGTGGTCATTTGGCTTTTGGAAAGGAACATTATTTGGTCTGGTGTGGGCTTTTGTTGTCTCAGGAGAGGGGGGCAGGGGGCACATGGGAGGCTCGTGTGCAAGGTCGAGGGGCCGCGCGAGGGGAGCCTGGGTATATATCAAGTACACTACCTTTTAAACATAGGTGGCCAGCGATTTGGGGAGTAGAGCAGAGCAGTTGTAATGAACAGCCACTTGACGAAAGCGATGTTCTAGAATGCATGTGTGCAAGTGATGAATCATACATGGGGTAGAGTTTTAGTGTGATACTGAGGTAGCGAGAGGAACGAAAGATCACCAAATAGGATCGCCCATGATCAAAACTCCAACATGACAGACTAACTACTATGCTCGTTCTATATCTTGTTTCTTTCTTATACGTATGTACCCAACAATGGCACAGTGAAGGAGTTAATCTGGCTATCGTTCTCGCATGTAGGGTAGGTGCCCTGCAGCGTAAATTGACGCATGCCAGTCCGGATCTCGCCAAGTCGAGGTCAGGCTCCTCGTTTGCCCAGAATTACCACTCAATGCCCATGAGTAACGCAGTTATACTTACTGCTACTGTGTATCAGTGTTTCAAAAGCAAATTGTACATAATTGTATGGCCAGCTCATGCTGCTGTTGAACCACAGACGAAGAGATGCCCTCAAGGTTCGACTGTCAGTCTGTTAGTGCCCCGCACCATCGCCACAGGGTCCTCGAGTCAGAGGCGCGCAAAATTCGACCCCGCCACGGCCGATCTCGCTGCTGCACTAACAAACCTACCGAAAGCGTGCAGAGAAGAGCTTAGCTCCAGTCTGTCCTTCCTTCCTCCGTCCGATTTTTTTTCTCTCCCGCCGTTTCTTTATAACGCATCCCCTTGACACCTTCTCTCCCGGTCTTCTATTCAAGGATCAATTTTGTCTTCCACAGATTCATACTCTTCCCACCACCGTCACAATGGGTTCCTCTATCAACGCTGACTATGCCCTGTCGGCTGCCCACAAGGAGATGCTCGAGAAGAGCCTCCTCGACTCGGACCCCGAGGTCGCTGAGATCATGGTGCGTTTGAACCTGCCAACCCAATCGAGATTATGCCGTGTCTAACATATCCCCCCAGAAAGATGAGGTCCAGCGCCAGCGCGAGTCGATCGTCCTGATCGCCTCCGAGAACATCACCTCCCGCGCCGTCTTCGATGCCCTGGGTTCGCCCATGTCCAACAAGTACTCCGAGGGTTACCCCGGTGCCCGCTACTACGGTGGCAACCAGCACATTGACCAGATCGAGCTGCTTTGCCAGCGTCGTGCCCTGGCTGCCTTCCACCTCGACCCCGAGAAGTGGGGCGTCAACGTTCAGTGCTTGTCCGGCAGCCCTGCCAACCTCCAGGTCTACCAGGCCATCATGCCTCCCCACGGCCGCCTAATGGGTCTTGACCTGCCCCACGGTGGCCACTTGAGCCACGGCTACCAGACCCCCCAGCGCAAGATCTCGGCTGTCTCGACCTACTTTGAGACCATGCCCTACCGCGTCAACCTCGACACGGGCATCATCGACTACGACCAGCTCGAGAAGAACATTGTCCTCTACCGCCCCAAGGTCCTCGTCGCCGGTACCTCTGCTTACTGCCGTCTGATCGACTACGAGCGCATGCGCAAGATCGCCGACCTTGTCGGTGCCTACCTCGTCGTCGACATGGCCCACATCTCGGGTCTGATCGCCGCCGAGGTCATCCCCACTCCCTTCCTCTACGCCGACATTGTCACCACCACCACCCACAAGTCCCTCCGTGGTCCCCGTGGTGCCATGATCTTCTTCCGCAAGGGCGTCCGGTCCGTCGACCCCAAGACCGGCAAGGAGACCCTCTACGACCTCGAGAACCCCATCAACTTCTCCGTCTTCCCCGGCCACCAGGGTGGACCCCACAACCACACCATCACTGCCCTGGCTGTTGCGCTCAAGCAGGCTCAGACCCCCGAGTTCCGCCAGTACCAGGAGAAGGTTGTGGCCAACGCTAAGTCGATCGAGAACAAGTTCAAGGAGCTCGGCCACAAGCTCGTGGCCGACGGCACCGACAGCCACATGGTCCTCCTCGACCTGCGCCAGCACGCCCTGGACGGTGCCCGTGTCGAGGCCGTCCTCGAGCAGATCAACATTGCCTGCAACAAGAACTCCATCCCCGGTGACAAGTCGGCACTGACCCCCTGCGGTATCCGCATCGGTACCCCCGCCATGACCTCGCGTGGCTTCGGCGAGAAGGACTTTGAGCGCGTCGGCCAGTACATTGACGAGGCCATCAAGATCTGCAAGGAGGTCCAGGGTGCGCTGCCCAAGGATGCCAACAAGCTCAAGGACTTCAAGGCCAAGGTGGCCGGCGGCGAGGTCGCCCGCATCAACGAGCTCCGCAAGGAGATCTCGGCCTGGACCAGCGCCTTCCCCCTCCCCGTTGAGGGCTGGCGTCTGGATGCCGGCATCTAAGCGTGATGTCCGGTGTCGGTAGAGGGAGGCCACTCGAATTTCATCAACAGAGTGGTCGTCGTGATGTGATGAGGCGCGGATCCCACCGGGTCCGCCCACGATATGTTCAACAAAGCATGCATTTTCAACAGGCGTTCCTTTTTGCGGTCAGTCAGTCAGTTTGAGAGGGAGAAACACAAGTACGTGCGAAATGGGAGTTATGCCACGGGTGGCAGGAAGCTGAAAAGAACTATATCCGTTTCCTTTGTACGATGATGGATATTTACGAATCGTCTTAACACGAGATACATATTTGAAATTGATACGGCTCAGGCCATCAAACCTACCGATGCAAATGTCCTTGATTTCGTGGTAGTGGTGGTACATTTGGTGACGTGCATCCCTGTCGCCGATCCGCCCACGTCAGTAAATCCAATTCCACTTCACCTCACTCACTCACCGAACGCCGTCACCACCAAGACACTAACAACAGCACACGTCCAGGAGCCGCGGGAAGATGGGCTGGCCCTATCGCTTCGTCACCCTCTCCGACGAGGAAAAGGCCCTCCGTCGTAAAGCCCTTGACACCTACGCCGCCAAATCCCACCTGTCCATCTTCCTCCCACCACTCATCCTCCTCATCATCCGCCTCGTCCTGCTCGTCATCGACCGCGTGCAGAGGAAGCAGGCCCAGCGCGGAGGACGCTACCAGTCCGTCCCCGGCTCGCCCATCGCCAAGGCCCATCGTTTCGGGAACTGGGGTCTCCTCCGCACGCGCGTCGTCAAGATCGGGTGGTGGCTCGAGGATGACATTGTCCGCGACGCGAGCTGGGGCCAGAGGGACGAATGGATCCTAGGCCTCGGATGGCTGGCCTGGCTTCTCACGCTGTGCGTCCTCGACACAGGCCATGACTTTCTCCATCTTACCAAGCGCTTCGGCCTCGTTGCCTGCGCGCAGCTACCGGGGCACTACCTCCTCTCGCTCAAGTCGCCCATGAGCCTGGTGTCGCTCGTGTTCCGCACGTCGCATGAGAGGTACAACCGGTACCATCGCGTGCTGGGTCGGGTGCTGTACGTGCTCCTCGTGCTGCACGTGGCCTTTTACAACTACTATCTGTGGGAGAGCGGGATATGGCTCAAGCGCATGCTGGCGCCCGTCGTCTTCGCAGGCGTCGTCGCCTCCATGGGTCTCCACGCTCTGGGTTTCACCTCCATGACGGCTGTAAGGCGGTACTCTTACCGTCTCTTCGTCATCACGCACCTCGTCACGGCCTTGTCGCTGCCGGTCTTGATCTTCTTCCACGCCCCAAGCGCAAGGGTGTATCTCGTCGAAGCACTCGTCGTCTTCCTCTGCGACCTTGCCGCGCGCAAGCTGTGCACGACCCCCGCCACCTCCACGTTGGAGAAGATCCCCGGAACCGATCTCGTCAAGATCGTGGCGACGATTAGGCACGACAAGATGGCCAAGTTCCAGGCTCGCCCGGGCTCCCACGTATACATCAACCTCCCAGCCGCGTCACGCCCTTCCCAGAACCCTCTGTCGCCCGACTCCCTGCTGTACGAGTTCATCTTCAACCCCTTCACCGTCGCGTCCGTCCAGGAAAACACCGATACACTGACATTGGTGGCCCGGTCGCGGAACGGTCCCTTGACGCGGTATCTCAGCACCCAGTCTTCCCTCGTCATCAACATCGAGGGCCCGCACGGCGCGGCGGGCAAGTATCTGCATCGCACGCTCTCGGGTCAGTTTGATAGGATATTGCTTCTGGCAGGTGGTGTGGGTGCCACTTTCACCCTCCCCGTCTACCGGGCCATTCTCAAGGACAATCCGAGCGCAAAGGTCAGCATGGTGTGGGCGATCCGCTCCGCAGCCGATGCCACATGGGCACCCGAGGTGTTGACCGATGACAACGTGCAGCTGTTCCTTACAGGTGACATGGGTCTGGCGCCCGGTCCGGAACGTAGTGTCGCTGCCGAGTCGATAGAGATGTCGGGTAGGAATAGGAAGAGACCTGATGTGGGCCAAATCGTGGACGAGACTTTCAGCAAAGGCCGCGAGGAGAGTGTCGCCGTGCTCGTGTGTGGTCCAAAGTCCATGGGCAAGGAAGCCCGAGAAAGTGTACGGGCATGGGTGACGAAGGGCCGCAAGGTGTGGTGGCACGACGAGGCGTTTGGTTGGTAGATATGCCATGCTCTAAGAGTTGAATGTGTATTCGAAGACTACTGAGGACAACCGTAGATGGTCCTCTCTAGATAGATAAAAAAAACAAGGGTATAATCATGGAAAGGATAGCCTTCCGTCCTTTGACCTGAGTGAAATCTATATCATGACCCGCACACCAACGAACGCCGGAAACACCCCTTAATTACTCCCACCTTTCCACACCTCATGCAAGACGAAAACAAAACTCCTCATGTCCTAGCTGGCGCTACCTATACTTGGCAAGCTGTGCCATGATGTTCTGCACCTGGGCTGCGCTATCCCCGGACTGCGCAGATTGTCCGCCGTACGGAGCGCCGTACTGCTGCTGAGGAGGGAGCTGCGTCTGGTAGTGCGCATGTTGAGGCGCTTGAGGATGGTGGGCTTGCTGCTGGCTATTCAGCGCGCCCAGAATGGCCCCAACGTCTGTCGAGCCAGGACCTGAACCAGAGGCTGCAGCGATGACCTGCTGAAGTGTCGCTGGATCCAGCTTCCCCATGATGGCGGCAAGATCGCCTTGAGAGGGTGCGGCTTGGTGGGCAGGGGCCTGTGGTGGAAATGCGTGTGGCTGGGCCGGGTACGCTTGGGGAGGCGCTCCGTAGTAGTTACCAGCAGCCGGTGGAGGTTGCTGCGGCTGCGGCTGATGGCCAACGTAGGGCTGCTGTCCGTAGCCTTGAGGAGCAGCGTACGGCGGCGGCTGGTATCCTTGGCGCGCATGAGATGACTTCTTGTCGAGGACGACGGCGGCGACAACGTGCGGCTCAAGGTCGGCATACTGATCGAAGCGAACATTGGCATTGCCGTTGGATCGGTCGAAAGCCAGCGCAGGAACTTTCCCCATGTTTTGTGCGCGCATGTCGAGCTCAATGACGGCATGCACGCCATCGGCTGCCTGCTGCTGTATGATCTGGTCCTTGCCACCAGCACGCGGGTCGATGTACATGCTCTTGACGGCCAGACCCTTGTCCTTGAAGGGCTGCTCGACCCAGGCGATGAAGTCAGGATTCAAGCCGGGGGAAAGCAAGAGCTGGACGTCGGGCACGTCAGGACCAAAGCGCCTCTGGGGCATGTCGGGTCCGGAGCCAGATGATCGATGACCATAGCCCATGGGGCTGCGCTGCCGATGAGCGTTGCCATGTCGTCCGTATTCAGGGGATCGGGACCGGTTGCGACGATCACCATAGCCACCGTCCCGCCCGTAGCCGTCGCTGTAGTTGCCGCGACGGGGAGAGTGGTTGCGTCCCCGGTTCTCATGCCTACCATTGCGACGAGAGTCGCGTCCACCGCGGTCGCGGTCAGGACTCCGTCGGTCGTTCTTCTTGCCCTTGTCCTGCAATTTGGAGATTTCAAGGTCTGGAGACGTCAGCTACATGTCTTGCAGTGGAGTGAAAGTACTCACGAATTCGTCGTCCCTTGACCTCGTAACCCTCTAGGTGTTGAAGGGCGCTAGACCCTTCTTGAACAGTGTGATACTGCACGAAACCATACGCAGACTTGAGCGAGATCTGCGCAAGTCTACCGAACCGGTAGAAAATGTCAAAAACATCACGCTTAGACACCTTGTCACTCGAAAGATTGCCTAGAAGGGTCAGCTACAAGATCGACTCTGGCCTGGCTCGGGGGTACTCACCAATGAAAATCCTGGAGCCTTCGGGAAATCTGTCCCACTGTGCTTCGGTCATGTACTGTCTCTCATCGGCGAGGAAGCGTTCCCAATTACGCTGATAATCATCTTCGGAGGTTGTGCCGGTAGCAGGGGCTTCTGCAGCGGGTTCCTGATCCTCAGTAGCAGGAGCTGGCGCACCTGGATGGTGCTGGGAGGGAAGAGAATTGCCGGGAGCAGCTGGCTGGGGCGGACGGGGAGGAAGAGAGGCTGCGGATGGGAGCGCAGCAGATGTTGGCATAGAAGGCTGTGAGTCCTGTTGTTCAGTTTCCGTGGGTGCTGGGGCAGTTGGGTTGTCATGGCTAGTAGTAGTGCTTGTGGTGGGGTGTTGTTGGGCAGTGATATCAGCCACCAGCTGATCAATGGCAACATCTGCTGCCGTAGGCTGCTCGTTGCTGGTCTGGGCAGCTTCGTGCTCGGCCTTCTCAGCGGAGGCACTCACATCTCTCGACTGGGTGTCTTTGGGCACGGGCTTGTGGGCGCCCAAGTCCCCTTGATGTTGTGCGCGCGCGACGTCCTCTGGCTGCTGTTCGTCCTCGGCGCCTTCTTCCGGGTTTATGGGCGAGTCAAATGTGTTGGCGTAGTCATCATCGTTGCCATCATCTTGGGCTGGCTGTGCTTGGGCTGGCGCAGTATTGTTGGCGAGCTCCTCGGCAGCCTCATCGCCATAAGGGTCATCGTCGTCGTCTACAACGTCTTCGTCGGCGGCATCGTGGGCGCCAGCCTTGTGCTCCTGGGTCTCGGGGACACTGCTGGTGTTGAGGTCTGCGACCGCGACCTGGCCGTTGGTGGCAGCAGCCGCGGCGACCATGGCGTCAATCGTATCGACGGTGTCTTGGAGGGTGGGCACCACGAGCGGCGAGGCTGTATGCAAGGGCGATGGGGATACGGGGGACAAGCTGGCAGCACTGGCCTGAATTTCAGCCTCGGGGTGCTCTGTCATCAAAGCTGGGTTGGTTGGGCAGTACGAAGTAGTGGGTGATGGGGGCGCAGAAGGCCTCGATGGAAATCGAGAGCAGGAAGTAAGTGGGATGGCTGAAGACCGCGACGGGTTTTTTTTTTCTTCTGGCCTTTTTGATGTCTCTCTGTCTCTCGCAATCAGGGTCGCGTTGGCAAGCCGGTGGGTTGGTAGAGTTCGAGCGAATCTTGGGGCCGGTGCAAGATAAGCTCGAGGCAGGTCTTTCTGGTCGCGGGCAGGAGCAGGCTCGGGTGGTGAGGAGATACAGCAAGCAGTGATAGTATTGAGATTATCTTGAGGTTTGAGGCTGAGTGTGAAGCACCGAACGCAATTGTGACCCTAGATTCGATTCGAGATAGAGTCGACCCGGGACGAGTATGATGGGCAGTGGTGGTGGTGAGGCGGCAGGATGGTGAAGTGGGATGGGAGAATGGCGCGCGAAAAGCAACATGGACTGATTTCTTCACTTTGCTGGGTGCTGAGGGAGGAGCAGTGGGGCAGCTCCAGCGCCGGAGCTTCCAAGTTCAGTTGCGCCTGGAAGGTTGAAGCTGCGTCACTTGGGTGGGTGGCCCCAATCTGGCAGGCGGTGTGACACCTGTCTTGGCAGAATTAGGCACCTTGGATGAGGTACACAGCAGCGTCAATACTCGCTCGCAGTTATCAATCCACAGGAATTACTGGCTCTTCTCGGCTTGATAATGTCATGAACCGCCAGTTTAGCTCTCGGGCATGGCAGCCACTGATTAGCAGCCGCAGCCGGCCGTTGTGGCTCCCTCGAGGCGCAACGCGCTTCAAGCAGCATGAGGCCTTCGATGCCCGTTTGGACAGAGACACGCTGGCAGAGACTCGCGCGTGGTTCGCCGGCTTCAACGAGGACCAGCTGCCCAGGGGAAGTACTTCGTTTGCGCGGTCCAGCGGTGCTGGTGGGCAGCATGTCAACAAGTGAGTGCTCACTTTTTATCGAGCTCGTGGTTTACGAGAAGCTGATGGGATCGTAAAGGACCGAGACCAAGGCGATAACCGTCTTTCCCCTATATGAGTTGCTGGCGATCCTGCCCAAGACTCTACACACACACGTGAGGGCGTCGCGCTACTACACGGCAAACAATGACTCCCTGACGTTCCATGCCCAAACGTCGAGGTCGAGGAACGCTAACATGGAGGAGAACCGTGACAAACTGGTGGCCGAGATCAAGCGCATCTACCACGCCAACACTCCAAACGAGACGAGCCAGGACAAGAAGGACAAATATGAGGAAGTGTCAGTGCGCATGATGTGGTTTGGACTAAGACGTGCAGCTAATGAACAGTTGCAGATCCAAAAAGTTCCACGAGACCCGGGTCAAGAGCAAAAAAGTACTGAGCTCCAAGAAGCAGGCGCGCAGAGGATCTGCGGATTGATGAGTAGAGCGTACAATCACAAGACCTGTAGCTACATTAGCTTGCTCATCTTTATTACGGAACACAGTGGGCATTCCCCGTCACAATGACACCAATATTGCGCAAAGCTCATACAGGCAGCTTGCCTCGTCCTGCCCGGCAGTGAATCATCGCATCGGCTCAAGTTTGTGCTTCTTCAGCCGCGCAATCAGTTCAGACTGCCTTTTGACGCCCAAGTATGCCATTCTTTGTTGGGCTTGTCTGACAGAGTGACAGACGTTCTACTTGTCCCGACATCGCTCCAGTCCAGTCCGGCCCAGTCCAGTCTCTTTCCCCACCTTTGTGAGCCTGAGCCTGGGCCTGCGTCTTGGCCCGCCCGCCTGGCCTGGTCCCCATCAAATCCAAGCATCGTTCTTCATCTCTATCACAGCATCCATCGCGACATTGCCAAGCATTCAATCGCGAACATTTTTTTCATTTTCACCTAGACAATCGCCAAGTACGCAGATATCGTCCCACGAGCCCAAGCCGCTGCGAGACAGTCCTGCGCGTCACACCGCTGTGTCGCTCCTTGTACCCCGCGGGGGGAAAGGCTCCAAGCGAGTACTATTATCTCACGACATTTCTCCGTCCACTCGATAAGCAACACAAATCGCTACCATGGCGACCCAGCATCGAACGCAACCGCGGAAACCGCTCGGCCAGCCAGCGCCGCAGGTCCAGCCGTGTCGATACAAGGTCGGCAAGACGCTCGGCGCGGGGAGCTACTCGGTCGTCAAGGAATGCGTCCACATCGACACCGGGCGGTATTATGCCGCCAAGGTGATCAACAAGCGCCTCATGGCCGGACGAGAGCACATGGTGCGCAGTATTCCTCTTTCAACTCCACAGATTCATGTGCCAAACGTACAGAGACTGACCCCGATCACAGGTCCGCAATGAGATTGCCGTGCTCAAAAAGGTGTCCATGGGCCACCAGAACATCCTCACCCTCGTCGACTACTTTGAGACCATGAACAACCTCTACCTGGTCACCGACCTGGCCCTCGGCGGCGAGCTCTTTGACCGCATCTGCCGCAAGGGTTCGTACTACGAGTCGGACGCGGCCGACCTCATCCGCGCCACCCTCTCGGCCGTCGCCTACCTGCACGACCACGGCATCGTCCACCGCGACCTCAAGCCCGAGAACCTCCTGTTCCGCACGCCCGAGGACAATGCGGAGCTCCTCATCGCCGACTTTGGCCTCTCGCGCATCATGGACGAGGAGCAGTTCCACGTGCTGACCACCACCTGCGGCACCCCGGGCTACATGGCCCCCGAGATCTTCAAGAAGACGGGCCACGGCAAGCCCGTCGACCTCTGGGCCCTCGGCGTCATCACCTACTTCCTCCTCTGCGGCTACACACCCTTTGACCGCGACTCGGACTTTGAGGAGATGCAGGCCATCCTCAACGCCGACTACTCCTTCACCCCCGTCGAGTACTGGCGCGGCGTCTCCAGCCACGCCAAGGACTTTATCACCCGCTGCCTCACCATTGACCCCTCCAGCCGCATCACCGCCCACGAGGCCCTGCAGCACCCCTTTGTCGCCGCCCGCCTGCCCTCCGACGGCGCCGGCGAGAATCTGCTGCCCGCCATCAAGAAGAACTTCAACGCTCGCAGGACCCTCCACACCGCCATCGACACCGTCCGCGCCATCAACAAGCTGCGCGAGGCGCAGAACATCCTCATGGACGGCGCCAAATCCCACGAGCCGCAGCGCGGTAAGGCTACGCCCCCTGTGGCTGGGGCCGGGGCGGCGGCGACGACGACGGCAGCGGCCCCTGGCGGGCCGAGGAAGGATGATAGCGCCATCTCCATGGGAATGGATAGTACCTACGGCACGGGGAGCGCTGGTGACGGCGATGTCACCATGGGAGGCACGACGGTGCCGGCTGTGCTGCATCCTGGCAACGCGGCCAACAAGGCTGTCGAGGCGGGCAAGGGCCTGTGGAGCGCCGCGTCGCGGAGGTGATATTTACGTGATACGATACGATGAAGAGAAGTCAAAGCGCAGGGCGCTGCAAGATGTATAGGTGTGCTGCGCACACACGTATGGCTCACAGCGAGTATTATCCCAAATGATAGATGAATATGTTTTGGCGTTTGAAGTGTTTTTTGTTTGTTTGAACGAGTAACTAGGTATTAGGATTGACCTCTCGTGGCTACTCGCCCATGTTAGGTGCTCTTTCTCTCCTGATCCGGTGTCAAGCGACTGTCCAGGTGCCGCGCACCATATTACACCTCAGAAACTAAAGTATATACGTTATCAAGTAAGCCCATGTCCATTCTCTATGGAACACGGTATGCGCCTCATGTCCGAATTAGGGTCCCCGTGGGGTGTATACACAAAACGCCTGAATGCACTGTTCCCCCCCGCTGTGTTGATGCTATTCGTATGGTATTCTCTCATGGGAGAGAGAAATAAATGAAAAAGAGGCCGTGAGGAATGAAGAGGTATCGCACGTCGTGAAGAATCGGCCGTCAAAAATAGTAGTAGTGTCACACAAGTCGCTCGCTCATCGCGAGGAGAAGACCTCGGACAGCTCAATCTCCCGGGGCTCAGGCTTGGCGTACCAGCCAGCCTGTGCCTCGAAGCCCTCGGAGCTCGATGTGGGTGTCGTTGGGCTGAGGGTGCCGCTACCGGATGTCCAGCTCGATCCGCTGCCCAGTGTCCAGCCGTCGCTCGAGCTTTCGCGTCGCTGGCTCAGCTGGCCAGCTCTGAAGTAGGACCCATCACGCTCCTCGTCAAAGAGCTCGGCAGCGTGGCCTATTTCGACAAACTCATATTCCCAGCGTAGGAGCTTGCCCTCCTGACGGCGGGGCAGGTAACGGGCGCGGGCATAGTAGAAGAAGATGGCCGCGATGAGGCCACCGCCAACCAGATCGACAGCGTAGTGGTGGCTCAGGTACATGGTGGCCCACCACACCCAGGCCGCGTATAGACTGAAGGCGACGCGGAACTGGGGGAAGCAATGGCTCATGAAGAGGGCCTCGAGGACAGCGTTGGCGGCGTGCAGCGAGGGGAACGCACCAAAGGGAAGCGGCGCATTGGTGAAGTTGGTGGTGTAAAGATCGAAGCCAAAGATGGCATCGAGACGAGCCAGGCCCGCGGGCGAGCCAGGCATGCCGTACTCGGCCGGTGTGAGACCGTGCTCATTCTCGTACCAGGGAGGTGTGCAGGGAAAGCACAGCTGGATTGTGACGCCGAGGATGCTCATCCACCCAAAGGCCTTTGCAAACACGGGCGTCGTGCCAGGCGCGGCGAAGATGAACATGGCGATGGAGCAAGCGAGCGGCGCTGCAAAGTGGATGATGCCATAAGGAAGCCAGGCAAGGATATCGAGGATGGGATGCTGATGCGCGGACAGGATATTCGAGAGGTTGGCGCCGTAGAGCACGTTTTCGAGGGCTGGAAGCACGCGGACCCAGATGTGAGGTCGGTAATCGTAGGGGATGAATCTGCCTGTGTCAGCCTGCTGCCAAGTTGAACGGCCGAAGCCAGGATACGGTGCTTACCTGCTGCTAAAGAAGTACAACAGCCAGATCCAGATCATCATCGATGGCCGGAAGAACTGCCCGGTTGCTGGCATGAGCAGAATCCACAGACTGCCCATGACGGCCAGCAACTTGATGGTCGGTGCCGGCGGCGAGATCCAAAGCGAGAAGAGCGACAATGCGGCGAGGAAGACATACTGGAGATCCCAGGTTGTGTAGTTGCGCCTCTGTAGTTGCCTCACACCATCCCACAAGCTGAACGAGGTCTGGAGGTTGGTAATGTTGTCGACGCCCGGCGGCAGAATCTTTGACTTTGATCGAGCACGCGGTCGTCCCCCATGCTGCTGCTGCTGTTGCTGCTGGTACCAAGCAGGGAGACGGCTGAGAATGGCGGCATGGAGGCCGTCTGAAGGGAGGTATGGCAGCGACAGCTTCGGCTTTACGCCTGGCACAGGACCAGGGAGCTTGCTCATGATTAGGTGATCGGTGGCAGTATTATCGAGGTATGGCGTTATCGAGTACAGTTGCTGTTGATGTTGTAGGAGAGCCGGTGTGCGAGATGCTTACTATCGCAGTTCCAAGAAATGCAAGCCGGATGTGAAGCTGCTTTGCGGTCCGGAGAGGGATGGAAGTAAGGGGTACTGGAGCCTGGAGGATCTGACAGAAACCAGGATGGACGCTGATGTCGTGACGACGCGCCAAGGCTTTGCGTACCGTGAGGTGAAGCAAGTGCGCACGAGGACTGGAGGTGAACTACTACCTGGAGGGAAGGTACATGTAGTGAGGTACCTTGCTTGCTCGCGTGCTCACCACTGGCTCCCTCGTTTGTGAGGATGGGATGGACGAGAAAGAAGGACAGACCACGACGAGGCAGAAGAAGCTGGGAAAGGAGAAGGGTGAAGGTTTAGACTCCCAGTCTCACCTTATTAGAAAGCCAAAAAAGACACGAGTGACGAGCGATGAGCAAAGAGCAATAGCGTGGCACGACCAGGCCAAGGATTGATTAGTCGGGCTTCGGGCTCCTGTGGAGCGGAACTAAGAGTACTAAGCACCTGGGCAGCTGGCACGATTGTATCTGATGATCGGACTCTTCTGTACGATCATGGACATTTCTTACTGAAATCTGAGAGCTGTCGCCGAGGAATCGGTCTTCGGATGCTGCGGGAGAGGTACCCAGTACCTGAAAGCGCGTACCGGCTCCGCTGTAGCCCTGAATCCCGGCATTTTCTTCCTTCGGGGTACAGCTTCCAGGCTTTGACGGTCCCACCCTGTCAACTGGTGTACAGTGGTACATGCTTGTACAAGTAGCAAATCCATCATCCATCAGTCCAGGGCCAGCTCGACACCGAATGTCCGAAGTAATTATCGTGAGAGGCCCTGTCTGAGACTGAGGTGGCTGTCTGACAATTCAGCAGCACACTTCACCAGATTGATCATCTGCTGAGACCGAGAGCCTGGGCAGGCTCAATGTCTCGGACTCCATCGCTCGATTGTCACGGCGATTGTCAGCGAACATGGACACAGCCGTCAGCGCACGCGCGCGCGCGCGCAAGGTCGCAGCTAGCGGACCGCCCGGATCCCTTCAACACTCCGAGGGCCACTAGAGGATTGACTAAGCGGGCGGGCGCCTCACACACTCCAGTGCGTAGCTTGGGCGGGTACGCAAACCTAATTGGAATTAGACATAACCATGGCGACAATGCTAATAAGCACAAGAGGCCCATTCACAGTCACAGTCGGTGACACAGACTGGACTAGACCCAAGCACACACCACTGTCAGCGCCAAGCGTGGCATTCGTGCACAGAGTGCTCCTTGTCTGACTCTCCTGAGTCCTGGTCTGGTAACACCAGGCAAGGCGCACCGCAGCACTGGTCGTCTGACATGTCCCTACTTTTGGACTGCTCGCGCTGTGGCTCGCGTGCTCGCTCGCGACAAAGGGTGACCAGGCGGCTTTTTCCATGACAGCGACACCGATGTGCCAAGCCAGGGCGGAGAGGGCTTTCTGCCAATCAGAGCGCCCACTCTCGCTCTTGGCGCGGTTTACTCGGCACTCACGGGGTACTTGACCATGAGGTACCTCGACCTGCCAACGCCAAGTCCGAGACATGTCATCAATCCGGTTCAGTGCCCAGCCATTCTCCCTTTTCCACGCCGCCTTTCTCTCCTGCCAATTCTAAATTCTCCACCGTCAGGCTGCTTTTAGTTTTGACACAAAGCCTGCAGAGCCTACAGAGCCTCCAATCCAAGGCCAAAAGCGCGTATCCGTACAGCCTTAGCAGTACGGCCACAGATGCCCTCCCCTTCGATGACATCGTCATCTGCTGGACCAAACTCAATCATCAGAATGACGCAGCACGTGCCTAACATTCATTCTCAACACCACATGTTCTCGACAGCGCGGTGCGATCGACTATACTCGTCAACTTCATCCCCGAAACCCAGGTGCAAAAGTCGTCGCTGGCCTTCCGCGTAAGCCGGAGCTGCCTGACGAGGTTGAAATTGGCCCAGCATGAAAAAATGCGAGCACGCGACCATCCCAGCTGCCGCTTGTTTCGGCGTCTACGCAGAGCAGGGCCCCTGGTCAACTTGGGCGCGCTACCTCGATGGACGATCACCCGCCCGTCCACTGCGTCCAGGACTTCAGTGTCTCCACATGTCGCGTCGTAGATCCGAATCCGAATGCACGTTGCTCAACAATGCCTTGTTTTATTATTAATTCCCATGGGCCGTCCGGATCGGTACCTGCCTCTGCTTTGGTCGAAGCCCAGGGAAAACGACAAGCACTGATACTGATACTGACACTGACTATCGATAGCTTGGATCTTTCTTTCTTATCCTGCGAAGCTTGCTTGGGCTTGATGAGATCATCGCAAGCCTGCATGAGACGAGTATGCATCCGTAGTCTGCCCTCTTAAGTCTGGACTCTCGGCAGCCTCACATCCACCGATGCTTCGGGGACCACATTAATTATTACCAACGACGCGGACCACCGGCATCGTCCGGGCAGCCGCAGATTTCTCATCAAGACAGCAGACCAAGACGGCGACTCGGGCGGGCGAACCTGCTGCGGCCCCTTTTTTTTTTTTCAATCGAGCTTAATTTTTTGCCTTCTTTTTTTTCTGTTAGCCTCTGCTCCGTATCAATTTCCTATCTTTTCAGTCCTAGGCTAGTACGTATAGTACCTAGGCTCGGCGGACTTTCTTTCCCGCTGTTGCATCGCTGTGTTCACACTACCGACAAACTCCGCAATGTCAAATTACAGCGGTCAGATAGTGCACCCCCTCGGCCCAGCTCTCCTGGCCTGGGCCTTGGCGGCCACGGATTGACTCACGCTGGTCCAGTCTCCCATTTGCAGAGGCCACATACAGCTTGCAGCAGATCTCATGCATGCTACCGCGGCACTTGTCCCTAGGCCATGGTCGGCTGTAGCAAACATTCGACTTGTGTGATCATGTGCCAAAAGGTAGTCACACTGTACAGACAGCCGTTCAAAGCTTGCACCAGGCGCGGGCAGTAGAAAGCCTGCCGTTTCAAGTCAACGGCTGTCCTACCCTAGACCTAAAGAAGCTTCACACGCGCAGGTACGGAGTACCGTACACTTGTTCATAGACGTCTTGTAAAAGACATTTATTGCTCATCAGTGCTCGAGTTAAAAAATCTTTTGGATTCTATCTGAGCAGAAGAGAACGAGCTGACATCAAAGGAGCGCGACATCATCAGTGTCAAAGGCCCATGGGCCGTCAAGTGTCAATTTGCAGCTTCAGCCTTTCGATCATCACACAAATATCGATTCAGTCTTTACATTCCCAGTCAATGAGTGTATTAGTTGTTTTTCCTGTTCTTTCACCTGCCCCCAAGGCCTTTCGTCTATCAAAGAACGGACAAGGATCGTGGTCCAGCACAATCGCCATGATAGGGGATGATCAACACCCCCTATTCCCGTCCTCAACTTACCTTACCTGGCCATGCCTGCTCATGCGAGCGTCCTAAAAACAGGCGTGGCCACCATATGGCCCATCTCAAAGTTCATATCGTGACGGGCCAAGGACCTACCTCGGCCAGAGGCCACAGGGGGTGGTGAAACGCTACGTTGATCAAAGTCAGCAGTATCAAAATCATCAACATCATCATCACCGTCTTCGTCGACTAGCACAGCCTTGTGCGGCATGTACATCTGCTTCTCCCCCCGCGTCGGGGTCACAACGACACCATGACCGGTGCAGACGGTACCCACCACAGTCTCATCATCGTCGTCGCTATCATCACCCACGACAAAAGCCGGACCATTGAGAATTCGTCCGCTAGTTTGGATGCGGGGAGACGCGACCCGGGAACCACCACGTGCATGCTGCGAGTTCATGAGCTGCGCTTCAATGTCGTCCAGCTGGTCGTCGCGGCGACGCACGGCTTCCATGAGCTTCTGCGCGAGCTCCACGGCCTTGACGCCCTGGCCGCGGACCTTCCAGTAGCGCCAGTTGATGTAGCCTAGAGAACCGATGAGGGCGATGAGGGTGATGATGAGGGCGGAGAGGGTGATTTGGTAGACGACCATGTGTGCGGCGTGGTCGTCAACGCGAGGGGCATCCATGGTGGTGGAGGGCATTGTGGCGGTTGTGAGATAGGTGTTTTGATGTGGCTTTTCGTGCGAGAGAGACAAGACTAAAAACGCGTCAGAGACCTGTCTGTCTGATACTGCTAGGGTTCTTTGAGTGAATGTTGGTGAGGATGAAGGGGAAGAGAGAGGACACTGAGTATGCTCGAGGAGATATATATAGGGTGGACTGGCGTTCCGCAACGGTGACCGCGCTGTTCGTTGCAGTGGCCATGTTGTTCATTCACCGTCACAAGGACGAACAGATGCAGTTGTTTGCCTCGCGATAGGCGGCCAGCTGTTCTTGGCGGAACAGGTCGTCAATCTAAACAGAAAATTCACTCGACTCGTAGATGTGAACACGAAACCTTGTGAATGCCGCGAACACGACGCCCCAACCTGCTGTAATGTCTCTTTGGTATCAATGCTGAATAGTGAGCCCAGAACGAACGCCCGCGATCCCCGCCTCCTTCAAAAGAACTTGCTCTTCACGCTGTTCATGACAAAGCTCCGCTTCTGCTTGCTGATGTACTTGTTCACATCCGTCGCCCAGCCCTGGCTCTGCTGCTGCAGGCCATCCATGCTGTCCCCCATAATGTTCAGCTTCTCGGTGCGTTCGTTGAGCTGGCGCGTCAGGTAGTCGCCCCAGCCTTCCTGGCTTGGATTGGACGGACCGCCGGCCGCGCCGCTGTGGATGTTGCGCTTCTCCTGGGCCGCTGCCTCAAGCATGCGCTTGCTGGCCGGCCTGTCCGGGCCACCGACGAGAATGTCCAGATCCAGCGGCGACACGTATTGCGTGCCCGAAATCCATTGTAGATTCGAGATTGTGGGCCGCGGAGGACACTCCAGCTTGGGGTTGATCATGGTGTCTGGCGACTGCTGCAGCGATTGACCAGAGCCCCAGCAATGAATGACAGCCATCTCACTCGGCCCCGTCCGCGCAAAGACATCCCCGGTGGGCGTCACGGTCGTATTGGTGCTCCTGCCCGCGTCGATCATGGGCAGCGGCGCGCGGCCAATCTCTTTCAACCCGGGGATAGAAAAGGCGCGGGCTGTCTGGTCGCCAAAGACGCCAATCACCGCGAAGCCTTGCAGCTCCAGCTCGGCCACGCTCGCGGCGTCGCAGAGGATGTCGTCGAATTCTTTGGATGCGCCCTTTGAGTTGGCGGGACGGAAGATGCGGATCTCCTTCTCAGTCACTGTGTGGAGGTTAGTGATACAACTCATCTCAAAGGGGCCAGGATACAGTACCTGCTACGACGACACCGTTCACGGACCGGCCCTCACGTAGGCCGGCAACGCTAGCACCAGTTGCGACGGCCGGCTTGCCAGTATCTGCCTCAATGGGATTCAGAGAGATAATCTTGTCATCAAATGCGACGACACCAGCCAGCTGCACCGAGTACGACCCGTTTTGGCCCGGGAGTATCTTGAACGTGATGACCTTGCCGAGGTTCGTTCCGACGAAACAGCAGATGCTGGAGTACTTGTCCTCGTCCAGGGTCATGACGCCAAATTCAATGACAACAGGCCACTCTTTGGGCGGCGCATCTGATTTCGAGTGGTGTCCCTTGAGGAAGGATGTGCGCTTCTCTTGCTTGGCAAAGTCCGTCATGGGCGCCTGGTAGATGATGGCTGGGGTCCGCAAATCGATCAGCGACAGGAACCCAAGCTCTGAGCCGACAGCAACAAAGCCCACGTTGGATATTTGCACCGCAGTGATGGGACCTTGCATCATCTCGTACAGGACCAACGGGTTCAGGCCCTCCTTAAGAGCGGGCTCGGATCGGGAGCTGATGTCTGTCAAGCCCATGGGGTTCGGGTCAATGTGTTGTGGGCGTTCCGTCTTGCCGTAGAATCGATTCTGACCCCAGCGAAACACGACGACTTCCCCCGTGCGAGTGCCAACAACAAACTCGCCCGTGTTCCCGGCCATGTTCATTGTCGTGATTTCAATGTCGTCAAATCGGTTCAGCGTGCGCGCCATGTCGACCTGCAGCTGCTGCCCATTCTCAATCTCGTCCGCGTGTCCTGAGTCCCAGATCCTGATGGTGCTGTCGGCCTGGGCTGCCTGGATGATTGTGCGTTCCTCGAACCGCTTCCGCGGCCGAGGGCCCTCGGCACCTCCTTTGAGCAAGGGTTCGCCCTGATCGCGCTTCTCCATCATTGCCAGCCAGCGCGGCCTCTCGAGCGATGACACTTGAACTTTTGTGATGAAGGGGTGGACGAAGAAGGTTGAAGGGTGCAGCTGGTTCGTGGGGCTGATGGGGTAGCCAGAAGGGAACGTCATGGTAATGAGCTCTCCCGACGTCAAGAGGGAAATGATGGCGATGGGGTCCTGGGCACCGGCAAAGTAGGGTGATTCACGAGGGATGAGCAGGAATTTCTTCGCCTGAGCCCCAGCCGGCAAGGGCAGTTCTCTGTGAGTCTTCCCCTGAAAGTACTGCGCGAGCGATTGCCATGTCGCTGTGGCGTAGACGGGGGTCACGCCAAGATCGATAAAGGTCATGCTCTTTGGCGCAGCGCCAGCAGGCTGTCCCCCCGAAATCAAAAGGCCCGAGTCATCGCAGTTTTGCTTGCAGCACCACTTGATGTCAGTGATGGGCTCTGCAAAGATGGCCTGCGCAGACGTCGAGTTGGGCTGGTCAACGTGCATCTGGGTGAGGGTGCGCGCCAGCACGATCTTTTCTTCCCTGTGGTCCCAAAAGACCAGACTACCATCGTCGTGCACGGTGGCGACAAAGGTGCCGGACGGATGCCACAAGGCATGCGTCAGCCGAGGGTAGCGAATCTTGTCTGTGCCCACGTTGTTGCCTCCGCTGGCACCTGGAGGGACGCCATAATGGAGGAACTGGGTGGCCTTGTTCTGCTTGAAGGAGTAGACGACAGCGCCATGGCTGTATCCGATGAGCAGCTTGCCAATGTCGCGAGGATGCAAGGCCAGGGAGACGAGACTGACGGCGCGCACGTTGGGTTCCTTTTCCTGCCAAAAGTTCGGTAGTCGGAAAGCGCGGGATAGACTGATCCTATCCAAATCGTACGCCAGCACCTCTCCGTTCTGCAGGCCGACAAAGACCCAGTCTAGCATAGGGTCCGTCACAATCGAGACGATGTGGCCGGCAATCACCTGCGCGCCGATGCGTCCCCCCGTGTCGAGGTCCCAGATGGCGAGCTCGTTCTTGGAATCGACGCTGACGAGGCGGTTGCCGGTGAACTGCACGTCGTTGAAGGTCGTCGCACGCAGAGGCTCGAGAATCTTCTGCACTCTCCGCTGGCCAAAAACATAGATCTTGCCAGAGCCATAACTGCTCTCGCTCGTGCCGATAGCCAACAATGATTGCACGGGATCATATGCGAGGCAGCTGGATGACTGTCAGTTGGAGCTCGAGGGCGGGGAGACGCGCAACGCACCTGATCTGCGAGTTGATGCCGTACCGCGCCTGGTCATCTGGAGTGAAGAGCTCAGGACGGATACTGGCAGACAGGTCATTCTGGATGCCTGACTGCTTGCCGCGTAGGAAGGACGACATTTTGCGTTGGCCGACACAGGACCTTGAAGACGAGGAAGTGCCGTCGCATTTCCGTACTTTGTATGAACTTAAGCTCTTGTAGGCGTGGGGCACATGCAGGGTGCGGCAACGTCATGCACAGTGTGCAATGCGTGACAGGCGTCTCTAATCATACTGTACATTTCACGGCATTGCTTGGCAAGGTTGACTATGATTGAGTGAATGGCTGCATTGAGAGATTGTCTACTCGCCATTTTGACGACCGAGATCCCTCCTCACACGCCAGACTTTGGAACCGACTGGTCTCTTCTCGTGACCCCTGAGGACTTCAACCCACGGCACCTGGCCTACATCAGTCGCCTCTGTCACATCCTCTGGCTCCTTGTCCGAGACATCGTCGTCTGTGTCCTGGTCTTCAATCTGCAGGTGCGTAGTCGCATCGTCGTCCCCGGACTGGTAGTAGAGATCTTCTGTGTAGGCCCAGCTCGGGGCGTCGAATTTGCCATGAACAAGAACAAGATCCTGTTTCAGGCCCATGGCGGTGTCTATCTGGTCGAGTGACATGGGCGTCAAGAGCTGTAGGACCTTCCTTGCCGGGTCGATGCCACGCACCAGCACGAGTCCAATCGTCTTTGAGTAGCGAGGATTGAGACTTGCATCGTCCTGGTTCTGGATGAAGGGGATACCCTCGGGGGACTCGGAGATGGCGATGTCTGCAGAAGCCGAGTTCACTAGTTCACCGTAGGCCTTGCGGTCTTCGATCACCACCACGGCAAGCACCATGCCATTGATGGAGCTCGCGAGCAGATCGGCCGGTGGCTCGTAGTTGTAGCAGAGGACCCCCTTGATACCGGCCTTGGGCCCGGCGTAGCGAAGTTCGAGCGGTGGGTGTTGGCTCAGAGGCGACGGATTCCAGCCGAGTCTGCCCGAGTCAGGCGTAGGCTTCAGGTGAAAATACGACATTGTTTGCATGGCCCGCAGATGGGCGCCAGTGCGCGCTGTGAATTCCGACGGCTGAGATGGCAATGTCCTAAAGTTCTTGGCTGTCGCAGCTCGCAAGGAGTCGACCGTGTCCGCAGGGCCAAGTTCCGACATGTAAATGACCTCGTCAGGGGTCGTGTGCCGGATAATATCCTCCAACAACTCGAGACCAGTGCCGAGTATCCATCCTGGGGTGTTGATTATGAGCGGCACACCTTTGAGAGAGGCGGCGTACGTTGCGTACAGATCAAAGGTAGCGGCGCGATAGAGATCCGGGTCTGATGCTGGCGATACAGACGCAATAGTGTGGCAGCGCACGATCTGTGACGCCGCATTGGAAAAGCTCGGGTGCGTAAAGGAGGCACTGAGGTTTGGCTCCTTGACGTGCACAAGGGAGATTGTCCCAGGGAGTGCATACTCGGACTGACCTGGGTCGAGGTCCAGCAAAGCCACCCCTTTGTCAAGGAGGCCCTTGTCACCACTCCGAGTAATGAGTCGGTTCGCCAGGATTTTCGAGAACGTCGACTTGCCGGCGCTTTTTGGCCCGCACACGAGAGCAGTCAAAGCAGTGTTGTTCGTTCCAGGGGCTAGTAGGTTGTCTAGCTCTTTGTTCCACTCCGGAGGTGACTTGAGCTCCTGGATCACACTCTTCCTAGGGGCGTCTTCCGAGGTGTATAGCTGCAGAAAAACGTCAGTCCTGATTCCCTACTAGCTTGAGGACAACTCACAATGTCGAAAGACAAGCTGACAGGCTCGTTCCAGAGATTCCTAAACAATGGAGAGAGACGACCTAGCTGACGTAGAGCCGGAGCGCACGGATCCATGTGAATCTCCAGCCTGGTCTGCGGACGAGTCCTCAACACTGGAATCGCATGGCAGTATGGCGCGTGCAACCAATGTGTCTCGCCATCAGCCCGCAGAGTAGTCCCAGCTACGGTGACCTCTCCTTCGAGTACTCTGATCCCAAAGCTTCCGAGGACAAGAAAGCGCTGTTTCGTCAGACATACGAAAAGACATGCTTGTACATGAGCACTCACCTCGCTTTCTTTCAGCCGGAGCTCCGTGATGCCATTGGCATGTCTGCGGCAGTTGTTCTTGGATGGACGGAAGGACGACAGCTGCACCGATCTTGGCGTCGAGGAACCAGTGGAGTCCTCGCTGGGCTTCATGAGCTAACAGTTTCGAAGCGAATTTTCAGCCTTCTTACCTCTTCAGATGGCGAGCCTTGTTGCGCTGGGGCTTGCCTGGGCTCTCTGGCTGTCTCGCTGCCACAGAAGGGGAGTCGCCCTGCCTGCTCAAGCCCTGCAACACGCTGAAGGCATTGGAGTTGGACGGCAGAGCTCGTGGCTCAGGGGACGCAGGCGCACTGGTGGCGTCGCCGAGCGCATTGCCTTCGGCTAGTCGTCGTCTGGCAGAGAGCGCGGTGAGGGCGCTGACCGCAGCTGTAGCATCTGTTCATCAGCATGTGCTCTGAGCTCGAGGTGAGGTGAGGTGAGGTGAGAGGGAGCAGTAGTTACGTTGTGTAGCCTCTTGGTCTACCTTGCGCCGCTTGCTGGCAGACATGCTACGCGGGATGTCTGAGAGTGTGCAATGCCAGCATGAGAGCAGTCATGCTACATTTCCATAGAAGTATAAATTAGATGGCCGGTAATGTTGCAGTATTAGAGTTGAACAGTGAGCACGTACGGAGGACGAGTTCAAAAGTTATGCGTTGACGCTAAAGGCGCTAAGTCTGCATGTCGTTTAAATCCAGCTAGCTTTGGTGCAAATCCTAC